ACATAAGGGTATGGAGCATACAATGATGCCTAGTATTTATGATAGAACATTTTATATGCTTTGCTAATAGATCAACTTTTAATAAATTCCTATATCGTATGATATCTTTCATTTATTCTTACTAATCCAAAAAAGGTTGATACGTTCACCAATTAATGAATAATATGGGAAGATATAAAATAATTATTTATGATAATAATTATTATTATTATGATTATTATTATTATTATTTGCTTCCAGGTTTTCCATAGTAGTCTAGCTTCAATTGACTCATGATCTCAACTATATAAAAAAATTACTAAAATCTTCACAAAATCCATTTCTGATAATGATCATATACTCACTAGTTACAGGCTTCATGAGGTATTTCCTGGAGTTCTAGTGAGAAGCAGTAACCCGTGGAGTTCAACTAGGTCTGTTGGGAGATATCAACTCACTGAAGACATTGATGAATGGTTGCTCAATCTCGTGGATTGGTTGAAGTTAGACATTAACACCGTTGAATGCTGACTCAGTGGTCTAGTGGTTAAGCGCTGACTGATAGTTCCTGGGTTCGAATCTCGCGAGGTGCGATAGTGCATGCCCACTGCTGAGGAGTCCCACAATAGGATGAAATGGCCGTCCAGTGCTTCTAGGTTTTCCACGGTGGTCTGGCTCCAGTCGACTCATGATCTCAACTATATATAAAAAAATTATTTTATTATTTTATGCATAAAGGGTTAAATATTATACTGGAGCTTAGAATTAATCTTAATGTTTTACTCTCAGTTTATTCAAATTCTATAAAAATCTACTGTATTTAAATGATATGCATATTCTAATCGGACACTTTATTATTACTCATCATCGTTTAACATAACTATTCAAATGTACGCAACAAACAATGATATAAACTTCAAGTTTTAAAGTAACATTTATTGTCAAAAACAGTGAAAAGTAGAAACAGTGAATATTGTAAGCTTCTTTCATATAAAACATTTACATGGTCATAAAAACTATAACACAAATTTCATTTAAATGCAAATGTTTTTCTTTTTTTTTACGCTTGTATAGGTTATTTCTGGTTGTCCAATTCTGACGACCGTATTGTTAGGCATCACTAGTTTTTTTTACCAGCCAACATGAAAATTCTCTAATACTTCCTTTTATTGACTTTAACTTGATAGTCCTTATTGTTCATATTAAAACTAAGGTATCTCAGGTTAAGACTAAAAGTTTAGGATAAAACAAAGCATACTTTGATGGCTATCCACCAGTAGTAGAATATTCAATCGAAGAACATATTTATTTGATTTACAAAAATACCCATTTGGATGAGATTCAACATACCGAAAATGTAGGTCAAAAACAGCTTCTTGTTGAATTTCTTTGGATAGTCAATGAGATAAGAATCTAATTGAATTTCATACCAATCACTCTAGAATTAAAAGTGTTGAGTAAGTTACATTTTCTTCAGTACTAAATAACTAACAGTGATGGTAATTAGTCTTTCAAAACATGACTACTACGCCTGTAGCTTTTCTAGGGTTACTGCAGGTCCCAAGCCCAGGTAAAGGAGGAGGGTTTGGACTGGGGTTGGCAACGACATTTCGTAGAAAACAAACTTTCTAAAGAAACGCTCACAAGAATAAACAGTTAGAACCATTTAAACTCTGCTCTTGGAGTTGAAGGGTATTCATTCAGAAGAATTATGACGCCTCATGATGAATGCTAAGATTCTTCGGAAGTCAAGAGGCCAATGCCCCTTCTAACAACCAGAGTAACAATTAATATAGGTACATGGAATGTCCGGACAACGTGGGAGGCCGTGAGGACTAATCAAATAGCTACGGAAATGAGGAGATACAACTTGGAGGTGCTCGGATTAAGTGAAACCCACCTGACCCAAGCTGGATAGAAAAGATTAGATTTGAGAGAGACGCTGTTGTACTCTGGTCATGGATAAGAAGAAAATGCTTCGCACACACAAAAAGTTGCACTGATGCTGCCGAAAGAAGCACGAAAAGCACTTAAAGGATGGGAGTCACATGGATTCAGGATCATCGAAGCATTCTTCAAAACAATGAAGGAGGGGTGGTCACAATGAATGTTATCCAGTGGTATGCACCTACTAGTTATAGCAACAAAGACGATAAAGATCAGTCTTAAGAGAGGCTGCATTGTGATGTTTAAATAAACCAATGACTTCTTCGTATTGATGACTGTTTGAATTTTGAATTCCAAATACAATACATCCGTTCGGGCTCATCTAATACTTCTTGATTACATTGAGTTATTCCTGGGATTACTAGTTTATACTACAATTCAAATACTTCTGATTATCATATGCACGTAGTTGTGAAGAAGTGCCCAGGAAAGAACCTGATCATCCTGATGGGATACATAAACGCCAAAGTTGAGATGGACAAGACCGAGTATGAAGATATCATGGAATGATATTGTCCGACAGGGAGAAAGGAACGAGAATGACAAGGATTTATCAAATTTATTTAAATTAAACAAGATGATGATTGGTGGCATTATATCTCCCCACAAATACATACATAAAACTACATCAGTCACACCGGATGACACTGCGCAGAACCAGATCCATCATATTTGTATCAGCAAAAATTTTAGAAGACTAATGAAAGACGTGAGAATCAAGAAAGGAGCTGACATAGCTTCAGATCACCACCAACTGGTTGTGGCCAAGACCAAACTGAAGCTGAAGAAACATTGGACAACAGGACAAACAGCATCACAAACGTTTGACATAGGTTTCCTTCGAGACACTGACAAACTTCATGAATTCAAAATCGCTCTCAACAACACGCTCCAAGTTTTGTAAGATCTACTGAAAGAAGAAGAAACTACCATGGAGAACAAGTGGAGAGGGATGAAAGTGTCACTAACGTCAACGTGTCGGGAGGTGATGGGTCTCAAGAAGTATCATCATTAAGAATGGATGTGTATGGAAACCGTGGGAAAGATTGAAGAAAGGAAGCTGAAGAAGACAGCCATTGACAACAATGGATGGAGAACAGAAAAAGTGAAGACGCAGACCGAATACACGTAGGTAAACAATCAAATGAAGTGGAGCATTAGGGACGACCAGTAGAACTACATGGAAAATCTAGCAACGACAATGGAACAAGCTGCAGTGGAAGGAAATATGGGACAACTATATGACACGACGAAGAAACTGGTAGAGAAAGATAGTAAACCAGGGAGACTGGTCAAGGGCGGAGAAGGCAAGTCAATCACTGAAATGAAAGGACAAAGTAACAGTAGGTGGAACACTTCGAGAAACTCTTGAATATACATGATCCATTAAGTGCACCCAGTTTCGAGGCCGCACACATAAACCTTCCTGTATAGGTCACTCCACCAATGAGTGAATATATCAAAATGGCTATCAAACAAATGGAGGGTAGAAAAACAGCAGGATCTGGCAATATATAACCTGAAGCACCAAAGTCAGAAAAAGAAGTAAATACAAACATGCTTCATCTTCTATTCAGGAAGATGTGAGAAGAAGAACAAGTGTCAACGGACTGGAAAGAAGGATATCTCATCAAGATACCAAGGAAAAGAGATCTGTGCAAATGTGAGAATTACAAATGCATCAAATTACTGTCAGAACCATAAAACGTTTTCGACAGAGGGTTGATGAGCCAGATGAAATACTCGGTAGACGCCCGATTTCGAGATAAACAGGCTGGATTCCGTAAGGGTCGGTGGTTCACAGACCGAATCTCGACACTACGGATCATTGTTGAGCAATCAGTTGAATGGAACTCGTCACTATACATCAACTTCATTGACTATGAGAGGGATTTTGACAGTGTGGATAGGAGAACCTTATGGAAACTTCTTCAATACTATGGTGTGCCTGAGAAGATCGTCAACGCCATACGGAATTCATACGATAGACTACAGTGCAAAGTGGTGCATGGAGGACAGCTGACAGATGCATTCCAAGTGAGGAATAGAGTCAGACGTGCCTGGTCGCCCTCCCCTTTCCTGTTTCTTCTCCTGGTCAATTTGATTATGAAGATCTCTATGTCTGAGGGGAATCACGGTATACAATGGATAGCTTGGATGCAGCTAGACGATTCAAACTTCTCGGTTGACCTAGCTCTTCTATCCTATACACACCATCTAATGCAGATGAAGACAAACAGTGTAGTAACAGCCTTTGCAGCAGTATGCCTCAGCCTACACAAGGGAAGACGCAAGATTACAAGATACAACACGAACTACGCCAACCCAATCACACATGGATGAGGTGGAAACATTCACATACCTAGGTAGCATCATCGATGCAAATGGAGGATTTGATGCAGACGTAAATGCGAGGATTGACAAAGTAAGGACAGCATTCCTGCCGTTGAATATTATTTGGGACTCAAAACAAATGTCAACCAACATCAGAGTGAGAATCTTCAATACGAATGTCAAGACAGTTCTATTGTACGGAGCTGAAACTTGGGGAACTACTACAACCATCATCGAAAAAGGACAGATATTTATAGACAATTGCCTACGCAAGATACTCAATGTCCATTGGCAGTATACTAACAGCGAAAACTTACTGTTCATAGAACAAACCAGATTCCAGTCGAATAGTTAATCAAGAAAAGTGGACAGGAAATACATTGTGGAAATCACTAATCTGCATCGCAAGGCAAACGCTAACTTGGAATCCTGATGGGAAACGATAAAGAGGAAAACCAAAGGACACACTACGTCAAGAATCGGGAGCAGACGTGAAAAGCATGAGTAGTAACTGGAAAAGTGTGTAAACTATTGGCCATGACAGAGGTAGATGAAGAATGCTGGTAAGTGGCCTATGCTTCTCCACAAGGGGTAACAGGTGTAAGTAAGTAAGTACTCGATTATTACAGTGTGATTTTCATCCACAAACTAACTTGTTTGACTTAAAGGTATGTTTTATAGTTTATAATACTCTTATTATTTACAGTACTAATAAACTATATTGTATTATTGTAAAACAGATACACATAGAACTAATTCCTATCAGCCTGTTCAATCGCTGTGTGGAGAGATAAAAAAGTCTTCAAGTACAGTAACACTACTACCCACGTGGTAAGTAGTACCTATTATTTAGCTAAAAATGTTCATTTATGTATACAGTGGGTAAATCATCTATTAATTTAGTGGGTTTTTTTCAGGAGACCAAAAGAATTACAGAGAGTACATCTTATAATATAGACTCAGTTTAACTTCACTGCCGCAGCTATCAGTCAGTTTTCTTACTCTTATATGACAGGTGCTAATTTAAGGTATTCAGTAGATCCATTGTTGAAATTAGCTCATGACAAAAACTTTGTTTGAATAAAACTAGTCGACACAAAAGAAATAACTGAACAGTAATCTTAAATTGGAATCAGTTACCTGATTCTGAGTGAAGAGTTGTACCTCGTGACAAACGTCACCGGCTGAATTAAATGATCATATGTGTGTACAACTGCATTTTGACTCAGTGGTCTAATTGTATTTTACTTACCAACAAACCTATGTGACCTGGTTTTTCCTCCATGTTAGGTCGTCAGTGTGCATATCTTAGAGGGTTAAAAACCATGTCTAAACTTCAGTCTAATTTTACATATTTTATGATAAACTTTTTAACGAAATGATGGGCGACAGAGAGAAATTTGAATACATTTAGTTTTCTTTTAAATTAAATTCAAAAACAAGTGAACTGTGTGTTGAAGATTTTTACTATTGCACATTATAACAAATTTGAAGATTTAAAAATAAGGTCAGATTAATTATGAACATGAACACTATTGAAAGATTAGTGATATTTAGGTATTCACCTAAATCATTAAAACAGTCGTTTAATGTTTGGTTACAATAAACGAGATTATCACTCGTTCATTGTGAGCTAAATGATTAAACCGGTAAATTTTAATGAAAACCATTGAAAATAGAAGACGGAGAGTCGTTTTACATTAGGTTGTTGCTTCACATAAACTTTCCGAAATGTACATCGATCGGCACAGTTACCATAATGAACAATAACAAATTTTTCGTTAGTGGATAACTTTTAATAATAATAATAATAATAATATATTCTGAAAATAATATTTACAGAATTCACACCAGTTTACAGGCATGATCAGATTGTTATAAAAATCAATATTTAATGTAGAGAACAAACATGAATTATAAGGTTTTATGTTTGCTGGTTTAGTAATTGATAAACAGTTTAAATATGGCATATATCACGGCAAGCCAATGCAACACCAGGGAACTTGTCATTTTTTTATTAAGTGGATAGCCTGATGATTGACCAACATTATTCTGTAAGGTTATTACCAGTGCCAGAGCGAGTTATTATTAATTAGACATGAATTCCGAAGTTCTAGTGGAATAAAACAACAATCTAGTTTTTCGGAAAGCTAGACAGAACCTTACAATCAAATAATTAGACTCAGATCACGTTACAAATCTGCTTCATAATTTCATACTGTGATACAGATGTTTCTCTTTGTCTTCCAACGCAAACATACTCCCTAATAAGAAATTTATCTCAGTAATTACTGAATTTTGATTCCGAAATTCCCGCATATGTGTTAAATACCCATATAACAATATAGGCATCAGTAACAACTAGGAATTGATCAATCTAGTTGTAGAAAAATAGCTTAAAGAAAAGAAACGATGTATATGTTGGGATGTAAATCTTTTTGCAAAATCCTATGTACCACATATATGCTGACGAGATGTCCATAAGTGGAGTGAAGTTTTAATATGTACTTAAAAAATAATTTGTTTCCTAATTCGTAGTAAACACACATGTCATCTAAACATTCAGGCATACAATATCACAGAAAACTTCCAATGTAAATTCAGATGAAAATCATATTAACCTTCATAATAGTCAAGCAATCTTTACAAAAAAGGACAATAATTCTGATTTACAACATAATTCTACTGTTGAAAATAAAAGTAAACAAGAAAAATATTATACAAACTCTTTGATTCCTTATGAAGTGAATTCAATCAATCCACCGTTATCGACAGACAATAAGGTAAGTAAGTAGTAGTTATCACATATTTGTGAAACATAAAAACTTATTTCTGTCATCTCTATTTTTAAGCTGCTAATTATTCTCAAGATAACGAACTGTTTAAGATTTAAGCTTATGGAAGGGTCACAGTCCTAATTAAATAAATAAAACTTTTGTCTGAATGTTGGACATTTTCACATGAACTGTACTTTCGATCATTTAGTATCATAGATATTAGACCCAGGCGTTTTAATGAATCTAAACAATCTCTTGTCTATTTGAAGTCGTATCTAAGGTACCTCTCTATCTAAGAATTATCTCAGTTTTTAGGTAGTACAACTTAAAAAGAGGAGGTAGACTACGGTTTACGACAAGTCTCGAATGAATGTTATTTTTACTGGAGTATGAATTAAAAATAAAATTAAATCTTAATAACACACTCATATGAATAACAACTAAACAATTTTTCATACATTTTGGAAATTAGGTTAGCTTTTAAATATTTTTCTGAGTCGATTAAATTTATTTGCTAATTAGAATTCATCATAACAACTTTCAACATGATAAATTCCAAATAATTTTAACTTCTATTCTATTATCTTTGTAGTTTACAAAGAATAAATCAATAAATTTAATAGTTGAAATCATCAGTCGACTGAACGTAGACTATTTTGGAAAACCTGCAAGCACTGGATGGGGTTTGAGTCCTGCATACGGGATCGTGGTCGCACACCGCTGAAGAGTTCCGTACTAGGACGAAACGGCCTTCCAGTGCTTCCAGGTTTTCCAAGGTGGTCTAGCTTGAATTGACTTGTGAATTCAGCTATTAAATTACAACAATCTCCACAAAATCCCTTTCTGAAAATAAACAAATTTCAAGAAAGTATTGGACTTATTAATTTGTTCACTTATTCTTAACGAAAAATTCAGTTGTAGGTAAAAAGAAAAGCAAGAAATCAGGTCTACATTGCTGTAGTTAAAATACTTTTTTCCCTACATTAATCTTGTTCATGTCTTGAAATTCGATCAAACTGTTTTTTGGAAGGTTATTCCTTCATATCATAAATATACCTAGTCACTTGGTATATATTCCAATTACTTCTATGAGTAATTTACTTTTAACATTAAAATTTATACGTCAAAAATTATAATAAATTGAATAGCTCGTTTTTGTTTCTACTTTTGCATATATAAATCATAATAGTTCTAAACTTTAATTTTACAGAATAGGGATTGTTTACAATCCATTAGCTTAATGAATGGCTCTAATGAACCATGCCAGGACGATTCACGTTTGTTGAATAATCAATCAATGAAAGGATGTTATTATTCTGAGAAATCATGTGAATCAAGAAAAATAAACAATTTAAATCATAAAACATTACAGTAAGATCATAGATTTACAAATGTACATTATTAAATATACAGAATTTTCAACTTTTTGTTGTTTCACTTCATCTAAAGATCTAAATTATTTCAGTACAGATCAAGAATGTTGTTATTTAGTTTATTGATTATTTTTTTTAAAAAAACCATTACAAAAGACTTTGTTCAATATTTCTAGGGCTTTAAACCAACAAGTAATGGTAAATCTTCTTCATATGCTAATTATGACGGGCGAACCGTTTAAAATGAGGAAGTATTCTATACCTGATTCATCATGATTTGGGACTTATCGATAATGGTCAACCACAATCCAACCAAGAAACGAAATTAAAACCTTTAAGTGTTGCAACATTCATTTCATATTTAGACCAGTGAATCAGTATCCAGTGATTAGCACTTTTACCTTGAGCCACATCATGATCTCTGAAGGTTCTGAGTTCGTTCTTTATTTAGATTGTAAGTGAGCAATATTATGAAGATCTGAAATAAGGAGAAGCAGCTATTTAGAGCTAATTTGTTTTTAATGATTGCGAGCTGTAGAAAGATTATGTTGAAAACTGTTTTCCCTAAGCAATTAAATATTTACTACAAACAAGTAGTAACATTAAATAAATGATAAATAAATATATTTCTAGATTTTACGTGTACTTGAGAATAATAACAGTGAACCTATGAAAGAACTTTCGACATAATGATTTTATAGGGTTAAGTTTATGATAAATAAACGAAGGAACGATTAAAATTTGTTTTAACAAACTATGTTTAAAAAGTCGTTAGCCGTAAAACCTAGTCACTAGCATCATAGAAATAACTAGAATACTGTAGATTTATCTACAGTCATTAGACCATTACACTGATTTCTACAGGTCAGCCCCTGAATAATAAAATTGTTATTTTATTGAGTTAACTAAAAATGTCGATCATTATGTCATGACCTGAAAATAAACAAAGAAAAATTTTGAAACAACTTGAACGAAATTTGAATTAGAATAAGATTTACACTAAACTAAATCAAGCAGTCACATAAGACTGAGATCAGAACTTCTAGATCTCTTAATTAGTAGGATTCTATTGGATTACTATTAAGAAGATACAATCTATGATTAAATGGTCTTAAATGATCCTATGCTTGTCAATAATTTATCACAGAATAACAATTTGTAATGAAACGTTATTTTAAACTGAATAAAAAACAGAAAAAATTACCTACCTATTACATTTTACTTCACCTTCTAGTTTAGAAATGATTGTCAACAGATTTTATTTATAACTAGAGAGCTTGAAAATCATTATCATTCAGTGACCATTTAATAAATTCATTATGACTAACTCACATTTATGTTTACAAGCAAGTTATTTAGAATAGCTTAACGGTTGGTAAATAATATTTAAGAACTTTCATCTAAATTAAAGCGAATAGTTTCACAGTATTTGGGCGCCGAGTTGATGTAAGACATCAAATAGAAATAATGCATTTGTAAAATCTCAGCGAATGAATTTGAAGTAAATCCAACGTTTCGCCTGGCAATCTGGTCCAAGCTTTTTCAAGGACCAGATTGCCAGGCGAAACGTTGGATTTACTTCAAATTCATTCGCTGAGATTTTACAAATATATATTTCCTATTTAATGGTTAGAAAATAAGATTAGTAACACGGTATATGACAGTATAACTCTATCTAATCTATAACGTTCTACGCTTTCTTACGTTGTTCTGATTATTGTTGTACATTTTAGCAATGACAAAATATTTAATGAAATTCATGGCATATCAAAATTACTTCCTGTTACTTATGATCACTCAATCAAAACTACCATTCCATCTGTCAATAATATTGATCAGAATGTGAATAAAAAGTCTGATTTTATCAATAATCAATATTATCCACAGTTTCATCGACGATTGTCATGTGAAATAAGGCAAAATGAACAATATCTTGACCGTAGTTTAACTTCACAATCATTTTCTTTGAAAGGAAGAGGTGATCACTTAAAGGGAAATATTAATCCGGTTAATGAATGTGTACAACTATGTGGTATAACCCTCAGCAAAGAAGAAGTAAGCCGTAGTATTAATTAAAAATAACATTATTACCAGTAGTTCGATTGAGTAAAAATTGATGTTTATATGAGAAAACAATATAGAAATCTAGTCATACAGTATTGAAGCGATCTACAAAGCAAGTCATTTTAATTATAAATTCATTAATATTGTAAGAAAATTTACAATATAATAGAATTTGAAATAACAAAGTATAATTATTCCGGACAACCTTTTAGAATTTTAACTGATCAAAAAATATGGTGCCCTATCTTAATTACCGTTTTAGTATTCCTTATTACTATTTTCGAAAAAAAACTATATATTCAAATGTTTGTCATTTCATGATATCACCATGATGTCACCGACTTTATTACATTTCTTAAATCCATAACACCATAACTTGATCATTTTAAATAACCTCTTAAACAAATCTCAAGTTTGTTGAAAATCGCGGTTACTCAGATGAAAATAAACGCACAAAGTAAATGCTGATGGAATACGGGGAGCCTGGAAATTTGATCAGACAGTCGATTTCTTGAAGAATGTTTAGTTTATTCTGCTTGAGTAATGAATTGGTTCCTAAGTATATATTCAACACCACAGTATTGGTAGTGTCAACCTGCCTATTGTATTCAATCCAGAAGTACCAAGATACTAATTTGTTTTACATCAATTCGATCTTTTATATTTACTCATTAGATCTTGGCAATCATTAATGAACGCGATGAATTGTATGAGATATTACGAGTTAATGAAGAGGAGGCTAGTGAACGTTATTCTACAGAAAAACGTTTATTGAGTATCAAACAAGAATTTACCGCCGAACAGCAACGTTTAAGACAAATTATCACTGCACTGGAAGAGGTAAGAAAATCAAATACTGAAAAACAATTTACGTCTTTTTTAAACTTTTATATTCGATTCCTCATTCACTCGATATCTAGATTTCGTTTTTCACAGCTTTAAAATCTAAATTAGTTGTTTATTTGCATGTTTTCGATTATGATGTTACTCAGGACCTAATTTCGAAAAATAACCGTTTGTGACAGGCACTTCACTCTTTTCAGTTATTTAATCTAACTATAATCTATGACAATTTTAGTTTAGGACACTATAAAAAACAAAATTTGACTCGTCAGATTGAAACAAGAGATCTCGTAATAGTTAATTATTAAAAAATATAAGAGAAGTCTATTCAATAGCTAGTGACAAGATCATAAATGATCATCGACAATTTTCCTTCCTACTTTATAAGTAAAAGACTAGTAAACAATTAGGTATCATTAAGGTAGTGACTAGATTTGGAAAGAATATTCAGTTATTCTCAGAGTCTTTGTTAAGTAGAGTTCATTCATGGTAATAATGAAACGCATATTAAATGTGTCGGTGCATTGTGCTCGGCATGAAATCTGACTACCATGCTTTTGATTCCCTTAGAATACATGAACATTTTTTTCATGGATTTTGAATCTAGGATGAAATAGCTATTTGATTTGTCATGGTCTCTATTAGTCCACTAAAAGATGGTAGTTTAGGATGAAAATTATAGTGCATATCTTTTTACTATTGTCCTTTCGAAGTATGTGATAAAATAAAATGAATTCGTCTTATTTTGTGAACCACTTATCATTATTACTTTGGCACAAAAAATCTCTAACATTTGATATTATATCATTACCTAGTTCTTTATTTATCGTTTGTTTACTTCGTAGGAATTAGAAGTCACGATGTGCCGTCTTAATCAGTTAACTGCTGACAGAAGCAAATGGACAACTGAATTAGACGAAACAAAAAACGAAAGGGATGAAACGAAAGAGAAATTGAAAAATGCGGAAGAAAATCACAAAAATGAATTGATGGAAATGGAAAATGTTTGTTTATTATTACTGTATTTACATTCATGTTTTGTGTCGGCACAAACTGTCCGTAGTAAGACATCTTTATGGATTTGTGGACCGATTTTTAACTTTTGGGATATTCAATGTGATATTCCTTAGTGATCTACTTACTGTTTAGAAAATAATACTAAACGTAGGTCCACAAAGGTAATTCTATAATACATGTATGATAAATCACTGAAGACCAGGAAACACTGGGCAGCTTTTTTTTCTTAGAAGGTAACTCTACAATAGTGACATCCGCAGCCCCTCCGAGGGATCAAAACTAAGGCCTTCATATTTCATGGTGAGTGGTTGCCCTTCAGATCAATGCGTCGGGAACTAAAAATTTACAATCCTAACACCGATTCGTTCGCAATATTTAGGAACCATCTGATTCAGTGACCTAGATGTTAAGCCCTCTTCAAAAGAGCTGAATGTCATAATTTTGATCCTCGATAAGTTCCGTTAATCATTCTTAAAATAGAAAGAAATATCTGCTCAGTGCTTCCTGGTTTTCAGTAGTTGTCTAACTAAGATCAATCATTCTTGTAAGCTATAAAATTCAACAATCTTCACAAACCCTCTATTCCAGTAATTAGTTTATGTTAGCAAATACATATGTTAGTCAGATTGTTTCTACTTAAAATATCTTTGTCTAATAGCAGTGTAATAAATAAATACAATTAAAAATTAACCAAAGTTAATGAAAGTCACATATAGTATTAGCTGAGGAGCCCCACAATAGGAGGAAACGGCCGTCCAGTGCTTCCAGGTTTCCCACAGTGGTCTAGCTTCAATTGATTCATGATCTCAACTATTAAAATTAAAAAGTTTGTTTGAATTCATTTGTTATATTAATTATAAACAACACAGAAAATTGATTAACTATCAAATTTAAAATGTAATTTTCATTTCATTTATCAAGGCATATCAAGAGAAATTGAAACAAATGAAATTAGATGAAATTAAAAACACTGAAATGATAACAAAAGAATATGAATTAAAAATAAATAATACTACTGATAAACAATTAAGACAAACTACTGAATTTGAAGAGAAATTACAAAAATTAAATAAAACAATTAAAGAAATTGAACAGGAGAAAGAAAATTTAAGGTAAATAGTCTTTCATTATTTCCATATATGTATAGATATATTCATGAAAGATAAATTGATACAGGTCACTATTCCTAAAATAATTCAGGTCAACAATTTTTTTAAAAGTTTGATTCACATTGTTATTCTCATCAAACAAATAGATAAACATTCAGTTTTTTTGTATCAATTTCCCTAATCAGGAAAAAATATTTATATATTAAATGTGGGTTGATTATTTGAACATAATTATATAAATAGTCATTTATAACCATATTGAGATAAGATGGTGGTTGGAGGTGGTCAACAGGAAACCCTCGACCCGGGTTTTGTGCTACTTGGCACTCGTCAGCAAGGTGTACCTGTAATTATGAGGTACCTGTTGCTTCCTGACGGATTCGATCCCGTGTCACCCAGCTTCACAGTCAGAGACGTTACCACTGAGCTATTTGGGCCGCGACTGACCTCCTGTAGGACTGACATGTAATCACAATTGATTGATCACCGAGTGGTGATCAATGTCATGCGTGTCAAGTCCTTCTTAGTGCTGATGGAGAATCAAGTTGCAATACGGCCACTAGTCTTGGTGGCTCGACACTGGGTGACACGGGATCGAATCTATCAGGGAGCAACAGTTACCTCAAGATTACAGTTACACCTTGCTGACGAGTGACAAGTAGCACGAAACCCTCGTCCAGGGTTTTCCTGTTGACCACCTCCAACCACCCTTTTATCTCAATATAGTGCACACAGTGTCGAGCTACCTAGACTAGTGGCCACATTGCAACTTGATCGACAGCATTCGATCAGCACTAAGAAGGACTTGACACGCATGACATTGATCACCACCCAGTGATCAATCAAATGTGATTACCATATTACTTAACTCAAGATTATATATGAAGTAAAAACTATAATTAGGCTTGAATTACTTAAAGATTCATTATTCCTAGATACATTTAGTTGAGTGAGCTAAACATAAGATTAGTAATTGTAAGCAAAGATGGATAGTGGCTAGCAGTGGAATCCAGGACGCGCGTTTCGTCCTTTTTGGGACTCGTCAGCTGGATATACCTGCATCTCAGAGTTAATGTTCACTCTGAGAATCGAACCCAGTACTTTTCGCTTCAAACGCCATCGCGTTATCCACTCAGCTACTGAGTCCTGATAGTCACTTGCTTGTGCAATGGGGTGAAGTTTAAATTGTGAATTAAGGCTATATCGAGGCAATACGCACAGTATGCACATATGCCAATTAGAGAGTGACCAGTTGCAGTCCTAAACATCAAGCAAACAATACTATGTGAATTTAAGATCAGTAATATTTTAAAATTCATCTAATTATTTGTTGAATTGATTACAGACTACACCTTTTATTCAAAATGCATAATCGTATTTATATTTTGATTAACAAACAAAGTAGTCTTTTTAAAAACAGAAAGACTATTAATTCATATCATCGTTCAAATGAAAGTTAATAAACGAAAGAAAATTATATCTTTCATTTTTTAAGTTGAAGTGTTAAGTCCTTTTCTTGACGTCATCGTCAGTCCAAACTTTAGAACCAAGTGAGGTCATAAAATGTCTTAAGTGGTTAATAGTTTGTTTTGTCTAAATGCAATTCGAACCATTGTTGTCTTAGCTATGATGCTATCGTGTGCATATTTATTTTGATTACTGTCTTCTTTTGTTTAGTCTTTGACCCCGTGATTATAATACTTGGTCCTGTAAAAAACAGCTTGGTTTCATAGATCTACTGCATTATATACAGGTCGTAGTATCTTCATAGTTAAACTGTCAGGGAAAAAGGACGAAACATTTACAAAGATACAAACTGCAAATTATTAAGCTATTTTAATCCCGTATACTAGCGCCGCAACAAGTTATTTATACCACTATTTATTTGGTGATAAAAGCACTAACATTAACATTTTCAAAAAAGTGATCTTGTTTTACAGCAACTGTGAGAGTAAATATGCTAAAAGTTAGGACCTTATGCAAATGTATTGGGTCGTTATTATTCATTCTAGTATGGTGAAGCTTGTAAGTATTAAATCTGACATTGAAAGACTTTAGTATCTATATTTTAAGAAAACTAAGTTTATAGAATACTGTAATAAAATGTAAGCACTCTACTCAAGAATAACAGAAACGTTCACTAATTACAACTTATTATTAATCAATCTGGTAATTGTTTAAAATCCGACTCCATTCGCTTCGCTAAAATATTTACTACGTTTTATCAGTGTTTGCTATATATGGTCAAACTCATGTCTTTCTAACGGTGTAAATTTAAGTGTTACACAGCTTGAGATAGTGGTACAAAACTACCAAAGTACTAAATGAAAGTATAAAACCAAGTGTTGTTTCCAATGTTTGTCCTTTTTCTAATTCATTCATCTATCTGTTAAGAGTTAATCTCAAGTAGCGATAAAAAAACAGTAATAAAAAGGAATAAAATAATGGCTGTTTTTGTAAGTGGCCAACAATACAAAGTAATGAAGAAGGAGAATAAGAAGAATAAGTCTTTCATATTGAAATACCTTTAAACTTTTGTGCAAAAACATAATTCAATAAGATCAACTTCTAACTTAATTTGTTGAAGGAGATTGTATAATTCGCATCTATATGTTCTACCCGAAGTTTGTGCTGATGATGTCGTTCAGAAGGACGATGAAAGCGCCACGACCAAACCATCCAGTTCAGAGAACAAAACTCCATCAAAGGCATCTATCTGTAAATGACATTAGCAGTAATAATGATAGTAAAAATGATGACGATAATAATAATAATAATAATGATTAAAACGTATTTTTTTTAATAATCAATGAAATAATAGACATGAAAATATGGAAATTATTAAAGAACATCGTGAAAGAGAAAGATTAATTCGTAGTGAATATGAAGAGATTCTAGAAAGTAAATCTGTTGAAAAAGTAAGTTCAAAGTTTTTACAGTTGATTACATTATTTCTTACCATTTATAATTAATTTTATTAATTACAGTGCTTAGTATAATTTCTAGTGGAATTTGTACACAGTTTTTAATCTTGACTGGAAAAACGATTAATAACATTATAAGCAAAGATGGATAGTGGCTAGCAGTGGAATCCCATTGGGGACTCGTCAGCTGGATGTACCTGCATCTCAGAGTTGATGTTCACTCTGATAATCGAACCCAGTACCTTTCGCTTCAAACGCCATCGCGTTATCCACTCAGCTACTGAGTCCTGATAGTCACTTGCTTGTGCAATGGGGTGAAGTTTAAATTCACTTAGTATTGTTTGTTTGAATCTTCCCATTGATGTTTACGACTGTAACTGGTCAGTCTCTTATTAAGGCTATAATCGAGGCAATACGCACAGTATGTACATATGCCAATAAGAGACTGACCGATTTCAGTCCTAAACATCAATGGGAAGATTCAAACAAACAATACTAAGTGAGATTAATAACATTCTTATCAACCGTTTTATTACATTTTCTTTATCTTCAATAGTGATTATATTATTTCAATTATCAGTCAAAAAGATTTTAAGAATATATAATCTAAGAAGGTAGGATGATTTGTTAGTCATTTCATTCAATAATAGTGATGTAGCAGGATAGTCTAGATCAAAGATGTATTTATTTTTAGTTATCTTTAAATGAAAAATCACGTTACTTTATTATTCATATCATATATCCAATGTTTCCTATCTATGTAATTAGTAAATAAACATTTTACTGTACTTTCCATACTGTTTAAAACATTCTGTCGATAATTATTACTGTCATCATTCAAAGAACCATCTAAACTAGAAATGCTCAACTACTGATGGGCCTTCATTTACTCCTAAATTACATTCGCAGTTTATTCCAAGTACTTTAAAATATCACAAAACATAACATAATAATAATTTGATTTTTTTGTATTTTCATTTTAATAAAAGAGTAAGGAAATATCTAAATTAATGGATGTTCATTCTGTTCAATTAAATGAATTGGTTGAACAAATGCAAAAAGAAAAAATTCAAGCTATCAATGATATCAGATCGTGTTATACAGAAAATATTGAGGAATTACAAAATAAATTACTGGTAAATCTTACCCAATTATTTATTATGAATTACATGGAAAGTACTGTTTATGAGTAATACGTGCATACATGCATGTGTGTGTGTATACATACGTATTGTAATTGATCCTGTTTCAAGAGCCTATCATTTAACATCAGTAATATAAATAGTTTATGTCAATCATTTTATCAAATAGTAAACAATCTCATGTTGTTTAGTACTCTGTACGCATAGAATTTTATTGATCAACTAACCTATAACTTTGATCTACTTTGTTAGCTAATGCTAGATTTCAGTCTAAGAAAATACATTACTTTGAAGATAGATATCAGTGATGATAGTCAATCAACACTTTGAATGATCAATTCTAGTATGTCTTTCTCTATCATAATGCAACACAAATAAATTAATACTTTAATCTATGAAGTCCTTTAGATTTTACTGCTAAAATACATATCACAATGATTAAATCAAATGACATTTGAAGATATACAAATATGAGTCCAACTTATATTATTCCTCTGCCACTTTTTCATAACTTAGAACCAACTTTTTCAGTTATTTTAACACTATTTACATATGACTAAATTTTGTTCAATGAAGCTCTACTTTTTGAGCAATAAATCAGCATAACTATATAAGTCAACTCACTTAGTATTGTTTGTATGAATCTTCCCACTGATGTTTAGGACTACAATTGGTCAGTCTCTTGTTGATATATGTGCATCCTATACGGACAGCCTAGATGTTGCTTTCGGTAACAAGCATTATAAGCAAAGTCGGTTAGTGGCTAGCAGTGAAATCCAGGACGAGCGTCAAGTCCTATTCGGGACTGGTCAGCTGGATGTACCTGCATCTCAGAGTTGATGTTCACTCTGGAACTCGAAGCCAGTACCTTTCGCTTCAAACGCCATCGCGTTATCCACTCAGCTTATTTAAGTTAATGATATAAACCATAAGTTGAATAATCTGTCAATGAATATACTATCTAACTTTCTTTTTTATTGATTTGTAACTAACATAGAAAATAAATAGTTAGTTTTCTCATTTCTTATAGCAGTTGTTGAAAGCCCTATAATATTTCAATAGTACACAAAAAACTGTTCACAAGGGAAATCATATGAATAGATATTAAAACTGTAGACAGAACTCACATATAGATAACATAAATATGTATTGATATATATATTTCTTTCTGATATTAATCAACCATTTTTATTCTAGTCTAAACAAACAGAAATTCAAACACTTAATGAAACATTAACAAATACACAAAATTTATTACATGAAAGTCGTAATCAAGAAATTTTAGAAAAATTAAAAGTTCAAACTGTTGAAGCACATTCAAAAGAATTAGTTGAATGGGAAAAAGAAAAATTTGAATTATGGAAAATTAAAATGAATCAATTAAAAGATGAAAAAGATTCATTTATTGAAACAGTAAAACAAGAATTACAAGAACAAAAAGAACTTACAAAATTTTATCAAGATAAAATGAAAACTATTGAAAAAGTAAATCTAGTTTTTCATGTAATACTCAATTCTTTAGTTGATTATTTACATATTCATTAAAATAATAGATATTATATTGTTGGGGACTAAATTTATGCGTTTGTTCAGTTGATTTGAACTTAGTTAGCAATTAAAAGATCGATTGAAGTTAGACATTTACACCATTGGCTGCCGGTTCAGTGATCTAGAGGTTAATCTTCTGCGCGTAAGACCTAAGATCTTGGGTTCGGGTCTTGCATAGGGGATTGTGGATGTACACTGCTGAAGATGAAACGGTTGTCCAGTGTTTCCAGGTTTTCAGTAGCGGTCTAGATTAGATTGACTTCTGAATTCAACTTTGAAAATTAAGAGATATCTCTTTACTATCAATGGTACCAACAAAAGTCTTATTTCAGGGTTATGTATAGTGTCATAACATTTTAATATTGTTATTTATTATCTTGTACAACTTGCAAATTATTTATTAATTAAAATACAAGAATATAGAAATGGATTTCATTTCTGAAATTATTCCATCAAGCGAAAATTTATTATGTTGACTTAACGACAATTCAAAGGCTGAAAATAGACTAAGAAGAAACTGTAAGCTTTCTAGTACGGTTAAAAACGCATACAACTAACTTATTGTTGAATCCATGATGTATGTAAATGTATAGTTCTTCGAGATGGTGGAGAAGATTTGTAGCTCAGGTGGGTGATTTTGATGTTGGATTGTTCTCTGAGCTGGGTGGTTTGGTCGTGGAGCTTTCATTGTCCTTCTGAACGACATCATCAGCACAAACTTCGGGTAGAAGTGAAGTGTTTGAATTTCTCCACATGTGATTCACAGCTTGTCCTCTGCACCTCGATGTTGATTGGTTCTTATTGACCTTAAATCTGTCATTGTTTATTTCTTTGTTTTGGTTGTATCTCCTATTGGTTTGATTTTTGTTCCTATCTTCTTGCATAATTTTCTTGATTGGTTGATAGATTGGATTGATTTCAATATGTTTGTTTATTGCTGATTGACCTGAGTGCCAAGCTTCTAAAAATTCTCTGGTATTTTTGGAATTACCTCTGTCCAAAATCTGCACGTTTTCCCAGTCGAATGTATGTCCGTAGTTGTCCACGTGTATTGATATGAGTGAAGAAATGTCGTGACGTTTGACTGCTAATTGGTGTTCATGTAGGCGAAGGTGCAGGGGCCGTCCGCTTTGTCCAATATAGTGTTTGTTGCAGTTGGTACAATTTATCTTGTAGATGATGTTTGTTTTGTCCTCTTTTGCTATTTCATCTTTTGGTTTGCATAAGATTGAGTGGAGGGACTTTGTTGGTTTGTGGGCTGCACCTATTCCGAAGGTTTTCAGCAGCCTTGTTGTCGTTTCCGATATGCCCTTTATGTATGGTAGGGTGATCATTTTGTTGATTTTCATACCTGACTTCGTTTCTGATGGTGTGTGCGACTGGTATTTTTTGATGAAATTGATTGGATAGCCGTTCTTTTGAAGAATGGTTTTCAGGTGTTTTTCTTCATTTTTTCGTGCTGCGATTGTATTGCAGTGTGTTCTCGCCCTCTTAAACAAAGTTTGTACACAGTTGATTTTGTGAGTTCTTGGGTTGTTGCTATTGTAGTTGAGAATTTGATCGGTGTGGGTCGGTTTCCTGTGCACTTGAGTCTCTAGTTTTCCTGTGTATATAGTATATAGTATATAGTGTATAGTTCTTCATATTACTTATTACTTGCAACATTGGTGTTTTGTGGAATTCTGAAATTTAACAAATAAACAATTTTATATAATTAATGATGTAATGAATTAAGCAATTGATTAATAGAAATATGTATTAATTTCCTATTTTATGTTGACTTTGACAAGAATTCAGCACATTTAGTTTCTATTTATATATGAAGGACAATCGATATTTTTCTCATTAAACGTTTGAAATGTAAACGTGAAAATGACATATTTTCATTTATTTAAAGTAAAATGTACATTCCATCATTAACATGCATGATATTTGTCTAGAGTAGATGTCTAATAAGAATTCTCTTGATCCCAAGGTTTCACTTGGAAAGTAATCTTCTGGTAATTGTTTTATAACCCTAAATTAGTACCTTTTCCTCTTCTAAGATACCCATTTTCTTTTCTTAACCTTCCTTTGGTCATAGGAGCCTTTCAGAAGTTTGGCAATCTATTAATATGCTACATTTTCCGAAGATTTTTCCATCATGTTTATGTGCAATAAATATAACTCTGGGTATTTTTCCATATGTGTGATTTCATCATAATTAATAGTCAAAGTGGGTCCACAATCAATATATAAAAGAGCGTATTTTCGACTAAGGTAGTCGTCGTGTTTTGGGTTGATAAATTTTCACTTATCTTGGTGTTCTTATTTCAAGTCATCGGAATTGCTGTGATTCCTCGTTTTACAAGTATAAGTAATAAGTGATTACGATATAACAAATTGGCGGCGTAGTCATAACAATCACATATTAGTTATTCATTCTTAGAAATAATTAAATATTTTGCACTGCTGATACAAAAATGAAAGTTGTCATTCAATAAAAAACTACCAAACCGTTCTTGCATTGTATCTCTTTTTTTTATTTAGGAGTCAGATACATATCAAACTGAATTAGAACGAAAAATAATTACATTAGAAAATCAAATCGAAACATTAAAAATGAAACATGAAATCGATATGAGTGAGATTCAACAAGTCTATAACCAAGTATGTGCTTACCCTTATTTATATTTATGGGTAATAAATGATAACATGAGATTGGGAATAGATAACAGTTTTTTAACAACAACAAACTGAAATCCTTATTTATGAATGTTCGGATTACTTACTTACTTACTTTCGCCTGTTACTCCCAATGGAGCATAGGCCGCCGACCAGCTTTCTCCAACCCACTCTGTCCTGGGCCTTCTTTTCTAGTTCTTTCCAGTTCTTGTTCATTCTTCTCATGTCTGTCTCTATTTCTCGGCGTAATGTGTTCTTTGATCTTCCTCTTCTCCTTCGACCTTCAGGATTCCATGTGAGGGCTTGTCTTGTGACACAATTGGGTGATTTCCTCAAAGTGTGCCCAATCCACTTCCAGCGCTTCCCCCTGATTTCTTCCTCCGCTGGAATCTGGTTTGTTCTCTCCCACAGTAACTTGTTGCTGATAGTGTCTGGCCATCGGATCCGAAGTATCTTGCGTAGACAGCTGTTAATAAACACTTGTATCTTCTGGATAATGGCTTTCGTAGTTCTCCACGTCTCTGCCCCATACAGAAGAACTGTCTTGACATTTGTATTGAAAATTCTAACCTTGGTGTTGGTTGACAATTGTTTTGAGCTCCAGATGTTTTTCAGCTGTAGGTATGCTGCTCTTGCTTTGCCGATCCTCGCCCTCACATCTGCATCTGATCCACCGTGTTCATCAGTGATGCTGCCCAGATATGTAAAGATTTCCACATCCTCCAAAGCTTCTCCGTCAAGTGTAATTGGATTGGTGCATATTGTATTATATCGGAGAGTCTTGCTTTTCCCTTTGTTTATATTGAGACCTACTGCTGCTGAGGCTGCTGCTACACTGGTCGTTTTCTCCTGCATTTGTTGTTGCGTTTGTGATAGAAGAGCCAGATCATCCGCGAAGTCTAAATCGTCAAGCTGCATCCTGCCTGTCCACTGTATCCCGTTCATTCCTCCAGATGTTGACGTCTTCATAATCCAGTCGATGACCAGGAGAAAGAGAAAGGGTGAGAGTAGGCAACCTTGCCTAACACCGGTCTTTACCTCGAACGAGTCGGTGAGTTGTCCTCCGTGGACGATTTGGCAGTTTAGTCCATCATAGGAGTTCCGTATGATATTTACTATCTTCTCAGGCACACCGTAGTGTCGAAGAAGCTTCCACAGTGTCGTCCTGTCCACGCTATCAAATGCCTTCTCGTAGTCGATGAAGTTGATGTACAGTGATGAATTCCATTCGATTGATTGTTCCACAATGATACGTAGAGTTGCGATTTGATCTGTGCACGATCTATCCTTACGAAATCCAGCTTGTTGATCTCGAAGTTGAGCGTCCACGGAATCCTTCATCCTGTTTAACAATACTCTGTTGAAGACTTTTCCTGGTATTGAGAGGAGAGTGATGCCCCTGTAGTTACCACACTGTCTGAGATAGCCTTTCTTTGGTATCTTGATCAGAAGTCTTTCCTTCCAGTCTGTTGGTACTTGTTCTTCATCCCGAATCTTGCTGAAAAGAATGTGAAGTATCTTTGCAGTTGCTGTTATATCTGCTTTCAGTGCCTCTGCCGAAATGTTATGTGGTCTTGCTGCTTTGCCGCTCTTGATTTGTCTAATGGCCATGCTAATCTCTTCAATTGTTGGTGGGCCAACATCAATTGGGAGGTCTGTGGGTGCTGCTTCGATGTTGGGTGGGTTCAGTGGAGCTGGTCGATTCAAGAGTTCTTTGAAGTGTTCTACCCACCTGTTTCGTTGTTCTTCAATATCGTTGATTACTTTGCCTTCCTTGTTTTTCACTGGTCTTTCTGGTTGACGGTAATTTCCAGCAAGTTTCTTTGTTGTATCATACAGTTGTCTCATGTTTCCCTCTCTTGCAGCCTTTTCCGCTGTCATCGCTAAATCTTCCACATATTTACGTCGGTCGGTCCTGATGCTCCTCTTCACTTGCTTGTTTGCCTCTGTGTATTCGGCTTGTGCCTTGGCTTTTTCTGCTCTTGTTCGGCTGATATTGATTGCTACCTTCTTGTTCCTCCTTGCTTCAATTTTATGCAGTGTACCAACAGTGATCCATTCCTTGTGATGGTGCTTCTTTTGGCCCAGAACCTCCTGACATGTTGAAACGATTGCCTCCTTGATACCTTTCCAGCTGCTCTCTATGGTGGTTCCCTCTTCATTGAGTAGGTTATGAAAGGCCTGGAACCTGTTGCTGAGGGCTAGGTTAAATTCGTTGAGTTTGTCAGCATCTCGAAGAAAGGCCGTATTAAACTTTTGTGATGTTGTCCGCCCAATTGTCCAGTGCTTCTTGAGTTTAAGTTTCATCTTGGCGACCAGCAAATGGTGATCGGATGCTATATCAGCTCCTCTTCTGGTTCTCACATCCTCCATCGTCCTCCTGAACTTTTTGTTGATGCAGACATGGTCGATTTGATTCTGTGTAGTGTGATCCGGTGAAATCGAAGTGGCTTTGTGTATGCGTTTGTTTGGGAATATAGTGCCACCTATGACCAGTTTATTGAAGGCACATAGGTTTGCAAATCTCTCACCGTTTTCGTTCCTTCCTCCCAGTCCATGTTGTCCCATGACGTCTTCGTATCCAGTGTTGTCCTTTCCAACCTTGGCATTGAAATCTCCCATTAGAATGGTCAGGTCCTTGGTTGGGCACTTCTCGAAGATTGACTGCAGCCTATCGTAGAATTGGTTTTTAGCGTCTTCATCGTAGTCGTTGGTCGGCGCATAGCATTGGATGATGTTCATTGTAATGCCCTCTCTCTTTGTTCTGAAGGAGGCTTTGATGATCCTTGGTCCATGAGATTCCCATCCTATAAGTGCATTTTGTGCTTTTCTAGACAGCATCAGTGCCACTCCTTGTGTATGTGGGGCATTTTCTTCTTCATGACCGGAGTATAACAGAAGTTCCCCTGAAGACAGTCGTTGTTGTCCAACCTGCGTCCAATGTGTTTCACTGATTCCAAGCACTTCCAGGTTGTATTTCCTCATTTCCGCAGAAATTTGGAAGACTCTTCTGGTCTCCCACATTGTCCGGACATTCCATGTACCTATAAAAATTGTCGCTCTGGTTGTAAGAAGGTGCATCGGCCTCATGACTTCCGAAGGAACTCGGCTTTCATCATGAGACGTCATTTTTCCTTCTACTCCCAGGGCAGAGTTTGAATGGTTTGAATGAATTTTTCTGGTTAGCGTTTTTTTAGCGAGTTGATTTTCTACGGGATGGGGTCGCTAACCCCATGCCCAACCCTCCTCCTTTACCCGGGCTTGGGACCGGCAGTAGCCCCTGGAGGAGCTACAGGCGGAGTTATGAATGTTCGGATTACACCAAATAATTTTGTCAGATCTCCTTTTTGTATAGCAAATTTGCATATCAACTTTTGACCTTAAAATTAATTTCCGTATAAGAATTCAACATAAAATAACAAATACGATAACTAATGATTCAAATTAAAGTAAATTATCAGGGCCATCGTCAATTCGATCGAGACGTCTGCAGGTTGAAGACCATGTGTTCAAAACACTATGATGATGTTTATACTACTACTATTTTATTATCAAAGTGCTGTAACAGTTGACCTGAAGATATAAGACAGATACAGTGTACCAGCCGTGTGATTGGTCAAGTCTTATCCGGTGAAGCCTATTGACTTTTCCGTAAATGGTTTCCGTTTCTAAAGGCTCATAAACCCACGGCATGGATGTGATTTTGTGGAAAAATCTATACCCCCAGGTCTTGGTGCGTGAGCGTTGAACCAGAGGCAAGTATAATCTATATGCATACTGGTAACATAAGTTTTCATCCATGTGTCCCTTGGTATACACATAGGTATACTTACAATGTAAGCAAATATACTTTATACGCACACCGCTAATAAAAAGTTTACACTCATGCACGCCATGACACACATATTGATATATTCACCCACCTGATGATCACCGCTTCCTTCGAACGTATTTGATACAGCTGACTGTCACTTACACACTACATGCATATAGCAGGTATAAGGGTTCTCAACCATACACTTTATGACGTAAGCACGTAAGCACTCTTCTAGGAGAGTTTGATAAACACCTCTCCCTGGTATTCGCTGACATATTTTTTATTATTTCTTCAACCTGGAGGATTAAGCGTTTGATTTCATTAGACACAAAGCAGACATTTTTCAGCTTACTTTCTTTGTTCTAAACCACGTGCGTATCCTTTGCATATACCTACACACATAGACTACACAAGTTGAGGCTCATGCAATTCATATACATAAGCATACACATCGGGAAGTCCTCGAGATTTCAGTGCGCACCGAAAAATGGGACCCAGTTGATCCGGTTTACATCAGAGTGGTGGATTAGTCCGATCCTCGCCGACCTCCCAAGTTAGCTAGCAAGGTTGCTTCTACTACTCAGCAGTGCCACAAGGAGACCTTGGGTCTGGTTTTACTGGTATAGGACAGGCAATTGTTTGTACAACCTATTTAATCAGATGAAATACCATACTACATTTTTCTGAGGGCCTGGTCAAATGAAGGATGATAGTTTACATATCTAAGTGACTTAGCTGGATTTGTGATCTATTTAGCAGCCGAATCACAAAATGTCGTCTAGAGATCTAAGAAACTATAAATAGGAACCAACTATCTGAAGCCGGTTAAAACATGGGATTTCTCACGACCCTAACAATCCACTGCATTGTTATTGATTTCTAAATAATGAGTATCTATTCATTTGAATTACTTGTTTATCAAATGAATTAATATAATGAAATTCGAAAGAAAATGAAATACATTGTTTATTTTAGGCAAAATTCTGAAGATTTTTCGGAAGTTAAAATTTCTGGGTCTAAATGTTTTGTAATAATAGTATCGAATCCGTAAAATTCGGCTAGTCTGGGTGACTACTGACAGAGACTACCAGAATTCGTCTTTCTTGTTTCATACTACTCATAAGTCAATATGGAATAAAATTATTTTTTTATAGTTGAAATCATGAGTCAGTTGAAGCTAGACCACCATGGAAAACTTGGAAGCACTGGACATCCGTTTTGTTCTATTGTGGGACTCCGTCCAGTGCTCCCAGGTTTTCCATGGTGGTGTAGCTTCAATCGACTCATGATTTCAACCATAAAACTACTAAAAATCTCCACAAAACCCCCCTTCTGACAAATTATTTTTGTTAAGTCCATAGAAATAAAGATGGAAAATTTTCTAATTTTTTTCTGATTTGTCATCCAATAGAATTATCCAGTCAGTCATGATACTTCGTTCACCGACCAGATCTTTGAAAACGAACTTCTACAGTATATTCACTTAATAATTTGATCATATCAGATTTTATATAGTTGAAATCAGATTTGATAATTAAAGGGATTTTAACGACTACCGATTGAGTTTTTTTAAATCAAATTTAGCAGGAGACTTCCTAGAAAAACTAAATATACCCCAGTCTAAATGGAGTTTCAATATCCCATCATAAGTCAAAATGTAAAAGTTTTGTGTCATTATGTAATTGGTTTTACATTTGACTGCACAGTTAAATGTAGTGAATATCAAAACTACATGATCCGAATATATTCTAATGAGTGCTCTAGCAACATGAAGTGATAACAGAATCTCTTGTGTAATATAACGCTGATTAATTATGTGATAGGTTAGTCTTATGACTATTATCTTAAAGTTAGTGTTCATAGTATTTTAGGAGTTCGATTAGTAACAATGAAGTTTAATACAAGAAATTTTAAATGAGTCTATTTTTATAATTTAAAAGATCTTCCAACACATTGAATCTATCGATCATATTAAGCTATATATTTAACTCTGTTAACGAGTTTCTTTGTGTCAATGCAAACAAAAATGGAATCGAGGATATCAATAAAACACAATTATCCAAACTCTAGCGACTCAATCCATTATTCATGTGTGAGTACAGTTTGCATTGAAAATTACCCCTTAGCTCTTTCAAATGAGAATACATCAGTCAGACATCATGATAAGTACTAAAGAAGATTGAGCTTTATCAATGACTTACTAACCACATTCCAATCTTTAATTTATGAGATAGAAGGCCGAAGTGAGACATGAATTATTTTAAATTTGACGTTTAGCATACGTTAATATCTTTTCATTATTCCTATTCTTCTACGTATATTTACTTTTCTTTTTAGAAATTATCCAATATGGAATTGCAACATTCTCGAGAAATTAAACAGGCTGTAGAAAGTGAAAATGTAACTGTACAAAAACAAGTACATGAAAAAAACCAAGTAGAAAAAGATAAAATATTAGAAGACCTAATCTCTTCGTCAACACAGATAACTTCGAAAATTGGAAATTTAATCAGTGATATTTATCATATCATTGAATGGAATGTACAAAATTTATACAATTTCCCCGATTTTCCTTTGGATTCAGATGTACAAGAAAAGTAAGTTGATTTTTGTTTTAATGATATTTGACATCAGACTATGGAAAATCCCAGACTGTTTAAACTTTTTTGAATAATCTTACATAACCAGTGAATTTGGAAAAACCCTGTTACTTAGAATGAAGCCTGAAACTTTGACAACACGCACACTGATTTCAGATTATTTTTGTTTCACGTTTTAAGTTATACAAAAAATCAAGAGTAAATATTACAGAACAAAAATTCCTTAATTATTAGTTCTTCAGAGATGTTGATTGTCTATCACTTCATAAATGTTTTCAATAGAATCTCTTGGATGATTCCAATTTGAAGACCATGCTGAGCATAAAATCCTGAAATCAATAGATGAGGTTTTTAAGAACTCGATACAATTAAGATAACTCAATATAAGCGACATACTTTACAAACCCCAACTCTTGAGATATCAAGGTATTAAATTCACCATCACTTAGGAAGTTTCTATTTCGATTACTTTCACAAGAGTCAAATTACAACGCATACCGTAAGCTAAACTACAATACACAGTCATGTCAAACAGATACTAGTTGTTAGCGAAGATTGAAGTGGTTGCTATGCATTAAAAATAGACAAGTTGTCCTGAAAAGAAGAACATTTCAACAGATAACGTACATATTATAAATTTGACAACAAACAGAATAAGAGAATACTGCAAAAAGTTGGAAAATGTATCAGAACAACAAATACATATTCAACTGTTTGTCCTTCACAGTACATCAATGTAGTTACGTATTGTGCATTACATGTTCCAAAATTGTTGGTAATGCAATAAGCTGTTGAACGTATTAATCCTAAGGTTGGGCATGACAGTTCCAAATAAATTGAGCATTGGATAGAAAGTTAATGATAAATTTATTTTTTCGGTATCCTAATGAGTAGAAAATTATATTTCTGACGTTTCGTGACTTAATGTAAGTCACTTCTTCAGAGTAGGTAAATAATCGAAGGTAGGAAACCACAGTAAGCTATGATATTGTATCTTTATGCACTAGCATTTTGTTAGCTAAATATCTGGACTTCTTTATTCGTTTAACAGAAAGTGATAGTACCCTATCCAGCAGATGTTCACTGAGCATTAGTTAACCCTGAAATCCCTCAATCTATTTTTGAATTCAACACCATTCACTTTCAAAGGAATATTATGTAAACAAACGAATAGAGTAGCCATGGGATCTCCAGTATCTCCGATAGTTGTTAATTTATTTATGCCCCGTATGCAGTCGCTCATTTTTACCAATATCATCAGACCACGCATCCGGTTCAATTATGTAGATGAAACGTTTCTCGTTATTAAGAAAGTCACCTCAGAAATCCCTCCAAACGAAAAAACACTTTCTCAGGAAACATCAAATTCTCTTTCTAAAAGAAAGAATAACATAGTAAATTACCATTTTTTAGACTGTCTGGTTAAAAAGAATTTTGATGGAAGTCGAAATTTAACCCCATACCAGAAACCGACACATTCAAATCGATATGCCGACTTTGACTTCGCATATCCATCTAACACAAACATTTTGCTAGCCCTGAGTCTTTTCAGAAGAGCAATCAAGATTTTTACTCCCAAAGTAGATAAACTTAAAGAAAAAGATGATAAAATAAACAAACTACCATTTATTGATTTTCCTAAGAATATTATAACAAACATATTGCAACAAAAGTATAATTCTACAAATACCGATTCTAGTGAAAGATTCTGTATTAGTCCTGTGGTTTTACCCTACCAGCAAGGTACAATGGATCTTACTTACTTACTTAAGCCTGTTACCCCTCGTCGAGGAGCATAGGCCGCTCACCAGCATTCTCCATCCAACTCTGTCCTGAGCCTTCCTTTACAGTTCTTCCCAGTTGCTATTCATCTTTTTCATATCGGCTTCTATTTCCCGGTGTAGTGTGTTCTTTGGCCTTCCTCTTTTCCTCTCCCTTTCCGGATTCCAAGTTAGGGATTGCCTTGTAATGCACATTGGTGATTTTCTTAATGTATGTCCGATCCACTTCCAACGTTTTTTCTTAATTTCCTCTTCAGCTGGAAACTGGTTTGTCCTCTCCCATAAAACGCTGTTGCTGATATTATCCGGCCAATGGATGTTGAGTATTTTGCGTAGACAACTGTTTATAAATACTTGTACCTTCCTGATGATGGTCGTAGTAGTTCTCCACGTTTTAGCTCCATACAGTAGGAGTGTCTTGACGTTCGTATTGAAGATTCTGACCTTGAAATTAGTTGGCAGTTGTTTTGAGTTCCGTATGTTCTTCAATTGTAGAAATGCTGCCATTGCTTTGCCAATCCTTGCCTTTACATCTGCATCCGATCCTCCTTGTTTATCAACGATGCTTCCCAAGTTTGTGAATGTTTCTACCTCTTCCAGAGTTTCGCCATCAAGTGTGATTGGGTTGGTGTTCTCCGTGTTGCATTTGAGAATCTTGCTTTTTCCTTTGTGAATGTTGAGGCCTATCGATGCAGAGGCTGCTGCTACATTTGCGGTCTTCATCTGCATTTTTTCGTGTGTATGAGATAGGAGGGCTAGGTGATCTGCGAAGTCCAAATCGTATAATTGATTCTGAGATATCCACTGTATTCCGTGTTTCTACTCAGATTTCGAGGTTTTCATAATCCAATCAATCACTATAAGGAAGAGAAAGGAGGAGAGTAGACAGCCTTGTCTGACTCCGGTCCTTACTGGAAATGCATCTGTCAGGTGTCCTCCATGCATGACTTTGCACTGTAGTCCATCGTATGAGTTTTGGATAATGCTGACAATCTTTTCAGCAACTCCATAGTGTCGAAGAGGTTTCCATAATGTCCTCCTTTCCACGCTGTCAAACGCCTTTTCATAGTCAATGAAGTTGACGTATAGTGATGAGTTCCACTCAACAGATTGTTCCACGATGATCCGTAGTGTTACAATCTGGTCTGTGCACGACCTATTTTTACGGAATCCAGCCTGTTGATCTCGAAGTTGGGCGTCTACTGCGTCTTTCATCCGTTTGAGCAGTACTCTGTTGAAAACTTTTCCTGATACTGATAACAAACTGATGCCTCTGTAATTCTCACATTTGCTCAGATCTCCTTTCTTTCGTATCTTGATGAGACATCCTTCTTCCCAGTCCATTGGCACTTGTTCCTCTTCCCAAATCTTCTTGAATAGAAGGTGAAACATATTTGCAGTTATTTCAATGTCTGACTTCAGTGCTTCTGCTGGTATATTGTCAGGTCCTGCCGCCTCCCCACTTTCGATTTGTCTGATGGCCATCTTGACTTCTTCGATCGTTGATGGAGTGACATCTATTGGAAGGTCAGTGTGGGCTGCTTCGATGTTCGGTGGATTCAATGGGGCTGGTCTATTCAGCAGTTCCTCGAAGTATTCTGCCCATCTTTTCCTCTGTTCTTGAATCTCAGTGATTGTCTTTCCTTCTTTGTCCTTGACTGGTCTCTCTGGTTTGCTATATCTTCCTGCCAATTTCTTCGTTGTATCATATGGTTGTTTCATATTCCCTTCTCTTGCAGCTTTTTCCGCCGTCATTGCTAGTTCTCCCATATATTTCTGCTTGTCGGCTTAAATGCTTTTCTTCACTTCCCTGTTTGCTTCTATGTAGTTTGCTTGTGCTTTGACTTTCTCTGCTCGTGTTCGGCTGTTGTTAATTGCTAGTCTCTTGTTCTTCCTTTCTTGAATTTTGTCCAGGGTTCCCAGAGAGATCCATTCCTTGTGATGATGGTTCTTAGGACCAAGAACCTCCTGACACGTTGAAGTCAGTGCTTCTTTTATCCCTTTCCAGTTGTCCTCCAAAGTAGTTTCTTGTTCTTTCAGTAGATCCTGTAGAGCTTGGAACCTGTTGTTGAGAGTTATCTTGAATTCTTGGAGCTTGTCAGTATCTCGAAGGAAGGCTGTATTGAACCTTTATAGTGCTGTTTGTCCAGTTGTCCAGTGTTTCCTTAGCTTCAGTCTCATCTTGGCCATAACCAGGTGGTGATCTGAAGATATGTCAGCTCCTCTCCGGGTTCTCACATCTTCCATTGATCTTCGGAATTTTTTGTTGATACAGATGTGATCTATCTGGTTCTCTGTGGTTTGGTCCGGTGAGATCCATGTAGCTTTGTGTATGCGTTTGTGTGGGAATTTTGTGCCGCCTATAACCAATTTGTTGAATGCACATAGGTTTGCAAGTCTCTCCCCATTTTCATTTCTCTCTCCTAATCCATGTCGTCCAATTACATCTTCATATCCTGTGTTGTCCACTCCAACTTTAGCATTTAGATCTCCCATCAGGATGGTGAGGTCGTTTCGTGAGCACTTCTCTATAATTGATTGCAGCCTTTCATAGAACTGATCTTAATCATCGTCGTTGCTATCATTGGTGGGTGCATAACATTTGATAACGTTCATTGTGATACCTTGCTTCTTTGTTCTAAATGATGCTTTGATTATCCTGGGTCCATGAGATTCCCATCCCACAAGTGCATTTCGTGCTTCTTTGGACAGCATTAGAGCAGCTCCCTGAGTGTGTGGAGCATTTTTCCCTTCGTGACCGGAGTACATCAGCGTCTCTCCTGTACCTAGCCTTTGTTGTCCAGTTTGTGTCCAATGGGTTTCGCAGATTCCGAGTACTGCCAAGTTGTATCTCTTCATTTCCATTGCTATTTAGCTGGTCTTTCCTGTCTCCCACATTGTCCGGACTTTCCATGTACCTATAAAGAGTGTTGCTCTGGTTGTTAGAAGGTGCATCGACCTCGTGACTTCCGAAGAATTTCGGCGTCATAATTATTCCTTCAACTCCCAGGACAGAGTTTAAATGGTTTGAATTATTTTTTCTGGTTAGCGTTTTTTTTAGCGAGTTAGCTTTTCTACGGGATGGGGTCGCTAACCCCATGCCCAACCCTCCTCCTTTACCCGGGCTTGGGACCGGCGGTAACTCTAGAAGAGCTACAGGAGGAGTGACAATGGATCTTGGAAACATATAAAATTAGGGCTTTTCATTACACGACAAACTCTTTAGTTAGAATAAAAAATGATCCCGTTTACGTACGCCAAAAAGTGTGTCTACTGATTAGGTTTTGTCGATTTTGATACGTTCTACATTACGGAGTCCTCTAGGGAAATCTAGACTCATGCCAAGGAATACTTAGGTCACACAGAAATACCTCCTAATAATCCTGTAGAATTGGAAAATCTACAAGTTATCCCAGAGATAGGAGTACATGGTATACTCAACAATAACTAATGGAGGTAAATTGTTCGCGCGCCAGATAGAATGTCCCAGGTTTAAGTCCTATCTGTCGGATCGTGGATGAGCACTTCTGAAGAGTTCCATCCAAGGACGAAACGGCCGTCCAGTGCTTCTAGGTTTTCATTGTAGGTCTGGATTAGATCGACTCATGATTTAAGCTGTGATAATAGCCAAATGGATAGCTAAAAAGTATCAAAATAATTCAGAAAGGTTTTTCCAACTATAAAGAGAGGAGAGAGGTGAATTCCTCTACCCTCAATAGGAACGAGGGCCTGACTATTCATCCAACCTGGATCTTATTTAAACAACCATATTTAGCCCAATTCACTTTCCAAACAATCTGTATAGACGCACTGCTTCATATTACGAATTTATACATGTTTAATACCCACCTTCATCCACACAAATAAATACCGCAGTATATCATACAGAATCACCGTGACCAAAATAACATGACAATGACAGATTCAGACCCATTATGATTTTGATTGTAATAAAAATACTCTACATTGTTGCCTTTGTATTATTTAAACTTGTGTTAATTTTATTTCTGCTATTTGCTTGCTCTGAAAAGTGACGTACATTAGGTTACTAAACGTCATAAATACAATTTTCTGCTCACTAGGATATCACGAAAACTTATTATAAGCTATTGAATATTAATAAGTAATATAAATTGGTAAAGAAGAAACAAACAGCTTCAAATAAAGACATCAATACCAATTTAAACTACAATCATTTTTTTAAGTTTTGTCCTGGCAAATTGTTCTGAATACACAATGAAAATGTTAGTTTATCAATGATAGTTCATCTTGTATTGATTAATGTTTCAGAATGCAATTGATTAGTCTCTTATTGGCATATCTGCATCCTGTACGGATTGCCTCGATACTGTCTTAAGTCATAAGTACTGTGAGCAGAGATACATAGTGACTAGCAGTGAAACCCAGTACTCGCGTTTCGTTATATTTAGGACTCGTCAGCTGGATTTACCTGCATCCGAGTTGATGTTCACCAAAGAACTGGAACCTAGTACCATTTATGTCAAACGCTATCTCGTCACTCACTTAGCTACTGACTCCAGACAGCTAGCCACGCTCAGCTGATGAGTCGCAGATGGGACGAAACGCGCGTTCTGGATTTCTCTGATAGTTACTATCAATATCTGTTTATTCATGATAGGTTTGATAGCTTTATGTTTCATATATCTGATCTCAAAATCTTTAAAGAAAATTCAATACTCAAGTCATATACATTCGATAAATGTATACAGATTGATGAATACTGAGAAGTAATCTACCTCATGTTTTTCTTAAATTAAATTCTGTTATCTTTAACTGAGGAACTTAGCTAAGATCCTGCCAGGACCACTACTTGCTTTTAGTTGATGGATGACAACTAGCATGAAATCTAAGGCTTCCTCATAAATGTTTTCGTTTTATAAAATTTTGGGAATTAGTTTGGCCAACAAAATAAATAAAAAGTTTACTTGTTCTCCAAAGTTATATCTTACTACAATTTGTTTTTTGAAAGGTTAAACAAAGAAATTGAAATACCAAATATAACAAAGAAATGGATAATCAGTGATATTTCCATAGAAGGTGTAATGAAATCACTCATAAAATATGTAGATGAGTTAACGAATAGTTTGAGAAAGAATTCAATGGATATTTTAGCACAATTACAACGACGTAAAGATGTATTATTAACACAAATTAGAAGTGAATTAGATAGTGCTCATAGTGCGGTTAAACGTATTCAAGAACAAGCTGAAACTGAACAAGATGAACATAAAATGACGTTAAAGGTAAGATTATTTTTTATTTTGGTTTCAATTACTTATTGCTTCTATAATTGTTTCAGGAATTCTTTATTTTTCAAATTTTTTTAGCTTACCACTTAATCGCCTGGTTTCATCACATCATTAAGTCTCGTTCACCCAAAATGTCCTATAAACGCTAATCAACCTACTTTTAAAGTCATTATTATTACATATTATAACCAAAATAGAATTAATGAAATATTATCTCGTTTATTTGAATTAGCACTATCGCAACCGAATTGAAGAGTTAGAAGATGAAGCGATAAGGAAAAAATTAATTGAACAATTGAAGCTGAAAGATGATGAGATTGAATCTTTAAAAAATGAAATACAACAATTACAACAAGAAATCAAAAAATCAACAATCGAAAGAATTAAACCAGATAATGAAGAAGTAAATGATAGGTAATTTTCCTTTATCATCAATATATATATATGGTGACATTCGGGCAACAACATGAATTAGAACAATGTACATAGTTCTATTATTTATACAAGTGTCTGGAACGAAATTCTTACATCTAATATGAAAAGATTTATTGTAGTATTTGTATACTTAACTATGTTAATAGAAAACATCAATTTCAATAATTTATGGATGTGGTATTTGGGATGAATTCGTTACGGTTTACGATGTCATACCATACTTCATTACAGCGAAACAATAAATCAACAAGCTCAGCAGCAAAGAATTAGAAATAGTAATATCCATTAAGATGGAATGAAGAGGAATTTTGATTTTAAAAAAGAACAGATGAGATGGAATAATGAAATTTATGGAATGAGACCAAGGATAGAGAATAAATACAGCTATCCCACTCTTAGAAATTCTGGGTCATGACATCTGACCAAAACCATAGATTACGGTATTGTGAGCCTCAAAAAAGGGTATTCATACCTCCTAATATGAGCCATCCCAAAAGTCAAAGGTTTCATAGTCTGATAGGATGTCTCAGTGTTGCCATTATAAGGCTTTTAAGAACCGAATTTCATAATAGCAAGCATAAGTCGACGGCGTACGTATTGGCTAAGTATGAGTTACACTTTTTCCAACTATATCAACCGATCGTCTAAATTTTTGAATGACTTATAATGACCATCTATGACATTACTTGATTAATCAAAATTTCCAACTTGAACGAATAATGCTTCAACTTATAACTTTATACACAAAAGTCTTAATAGACAACGATGCTACAGAAGCAATTTTAACTGTAAGGCCATATGTTAGTGATTAAGTTTAGTAAATCTGATGGGGGAATATTAAAAAAACGTCCCTACAATATATGAGTAGACATCTGAAATACACATTAAGATGAGCAAAATATCTATACAGTGGAAACATGTAATTCAATTTAACATATTCTGTCTTCACATTCATTCTGCATGATATATTTAGAAAGCATAAAGATCTTTCACCTATTCATCAATTATTGTATTCACTAAATCACAATAAAAATGGTACCAATAATTTGGTCAGTCAACAACCGATTCGAATAATTACTGAACTAAAAGCACGGATTCAACGATTGAGAGAAGAAAATATGGCGTTACGTCGGCTGCTTTTACGTCGACCACTTGTACCGGTAAAGCAATCAGATCAAGAAAGTGAAAAACAACCATTTTGTGTAAGTCAATTTTTATTTAGGTAGTTAACTTTCAATTGTAGCATTATGAGCATAATATATATATTTCGCTAGCTAATTTTTAATGAAATGGCAAAATTTAATGCAAAAATCGTAATTGACATTAATGTATGAATCTGTAGATGGTTATGACGTCATATACAGGTTCGTGTAGTCGGTCTTCAATCTACATTTTTGGTGTGATAATGATAAAACACAGCTCCATCAACTGAAATGTGTGTTCATTTTCGGTCTTCTACTCAACCGTTGAAAGCCAAGAAATTCGCTCATCACTCCACTATAAGTAATCACTGATTAAGTTAGCCCACCTTAATTTAGTAAATGGATTATGTACCAATAGTTTCCCTTTGATCTACTTTACAATAAGTAGTAGATTGTCAATGGTTTATGTTAAAACATACCACGAAAATCAAGTGAATTTAGAAAATTTACCCAAAGTTCGAACAGAACTATTAGGCGGTTACAAACTACCACAGTATGAGCCATTACCCTTGAAGTTGAAGATGAACTTCATTGATATATGTCAACAAGCATGAAACTCAGAGAGATTCTCATTGACTGCTCTGAAACATTTAATACCATTTGCAGTACAGAATGATTAACCTGGTAACTGAATTATATTTACTGATAATGAACTTCAGTCAATATAGATCAAATGACAGGATTTATCATGAGCAGTAAGTAAAAGAATGAAGAATAATTTACACCCATATATAGACAATATCATTTCAAAGCAGCTTTAATAGATAATCACAACACCAATTAATGCATTAAATTATACACTACTTACTAATAAAATGCTACATGATTGAAATAGTACTAATAACTGTCGGCGAATTTCTGAACACCTGTTGAAACTATATCCCAAGTCGTGATACCTCAGCATAGAGGGTACCTGACAAAGTCTGTCCTATGGTTTATCAGGAGTCATAGCTAGTATGGTACAATTAAAGCATTGGGATGGAATTTTCCGTGACTCTAGTTGTTACTGAGAAGTTAAATACATGCAGCAGTAGCTAAGTATGATAATTATGATAGATATCTGACTGACTGCTGAAGAGCCCTATATTGGAACGAAACGACCGTCCCGTGCTTCCAGGTTTTCAGTAGTGATCTAACACTGATCCATTTGTGATCTAAATCAAAACTCGACAATCTCCATAAGCCTAAACTGATGAATAAAATGTACAAGTTCTAAAACTGTTTTTTTTACAGAGACTATCCGATGCACAATTCATGCAAAGACTGAAAAGTAAAGGAAATTTAGAAAGATCTATATCAAAATTATAATCGTTTACAAATATTTTCATGAACAGTGATTCTATTAGGATCGTGATATTTTTTCAAAATACTTTGGTTTGGAAAACGTAACCAAGAAGATTATTAACGTCGGTTTTTTTCATATGGCCGGTGAAAGATTCTTGTTTGATAGAATTTTGTCTAAACTCCAAGTAAACTGTTAACTTATTCACATTTATTTCAAGAGTGGATTTAAACGAAGTAAAAATAAATCATCTTTTTGTTTACGATGTCGTTATTTTTTCAACGTCAGTATGATAATCACTTAAGAGTCAAGCAGACATGCTAAGCACTAGTTTTCTCGACTAAATAATGCGATAGAAAATAATCCAATATGTAGCGTTAAATGATTAAACAGATTAATTTCCAACACTAAACTGACATTTTTTATCAAATATACATCAACATCATTTAAGCAACATTATTAGATTATGAAGTTCGCCTGAATATCATTTAATGAGTTGAATCTTAGGAAAGAAACATGAAGATAAACAATTATGCATAAATAAGAAATTATAGCATCTTTCAAAATGTCTGATGGTCAGACATGTTTAAATCTACCTATTCTCCGTGTGAACATAAATTATTGTGCGGAACATTAAGATGTTTATTATAGGTAGCCAATTATTTGGTCAAGCAAAATTTACCTTCAGATAACCTTGACAGAAATCAAGGAATCACATGAAGGTTATTTCCAATACAAAAAGCCCTGGAAAATTGATATTCACTTTAAAGTAGTTGTAAACACAATGTTGAATACAAGTGGCAGTAAACGTAAGTACAGTATTTGATCGTTTTCTGACGTCAGAGTTAGTTGCTTAAAAGGTAAATCCCTTTCAGAGAATTGTCTATTTTCAATAAACTATCTGGAATATAAATGTATATTCGGAATGATAATAGTTTTTTCAGCATTCCTAATCAGCCACTTAATGAATAATATCTCCCTTTATCAAACTGCGTTTGCCGCTTTATTTAATATTTCGTATATTATTTGGCTGCAGACTTCTCAGTCATCTGGTTTCCATTTCGATCAATAATGTTAAACTGTAATTTTGCCTCGAAAACATAATTATTATGTGTGTAGGAGGTCGCAAGAAGTCAGTATTTATTGTTAAAGTAGGCGTAAACCTAGTTAAGGATGTTTTAGTAACACTTAATTTTATACAAAACTCGAACACGTTAGCAAAAGCTGGTAGATCTTGTAAGAAGAAGTAGTAATAACAATTATCAGTTTATATGTAGAATATATCTGTACATAAGAATGAATATTCACAGATTGCTTTTATACACATGGGAAGTATGTAAAAAGTATGTACAAATGGTATATAGATTAAGTCATAAACCATATTCTGCAAGCATATTACGTTTGGCCAAATCAGACGGTTTTGTGCGGTTCATGGTTTGTTTCTTCTGGGGTTTATCAAATGATAAGGCAGATGAATACCTGTTTTGTTATTATTTTTGAAAGTGAAGTAAAAATATGAAGAGATTTTTGATTACTCATGCAGATGAAACCAGTTTAAATGAAGTAATGTACAAAAAGAAACACTAATTTCACGTAAAATATACCTAAGCCCATGGAGATTTTATAACGCAATGCAAACATGCATTATAAAGCTTATAATTAGAGGTTTTCTATACAAAATATTTAGATTTTAATGTTGTCGTGATGTAGTCAGAAATTACGTCTTAACACAATTTCACGCTGTCCGGCACAACGCATTTCCGTACGCTACTTTCTCATTAAAACATGAATACACTTCAAACGGTAATCTGTTGATTTATGTATACCAGCAAAAGAATATTCATTAGTCAAATACATACAACCAAAACCATCTCTAAATGATGAGTACAAATTTTTCTACTCCAGATAATAGCACAATTCAGACATAAATATCAACTGAATCTCTAAAATCCCCTGCAACGTTGATGTTTAATATTAATTTGAAGTAATGACTTCAGCTATATACAAAGGTGCATAATTTTTCGAGGCAATAAAAATGTTTTTAAAAAGATCAGCCTTTTCATTTGAGTTGAGCACGGTCTTACGTAACCGTCAAGGCGTAGTTGGACTGAGTCTCGAAAGGCTCTTGACTGGAGTGCTACGAAAGTACCAATCGTAGAATAAGTGTTCGGTCAATGCATTGTCATGTGAAGGATTACAACAGTTTATGTTTACTTGAACTTACTTTGGTTTTTGTGGTGCTATATCATCTCCGTTCGAGCTATCAAACCCCCGTTTTTTTCTTGTGGAATTCTTCTGCTTATCAGTCTTAACAAGACGACCTCTAACACGAGAAGCAACATCAGATGGTTTCTTTTGCAGACAGAATGCTCTAGCAACATGCCCTAAGTGAAGACGTTTGAAAGCGAATATGGGTCGTAAGTCACCCGAAAAACTTGCATAAGAACGTAGAAATGATATATAGGCCAATTCTGAAAGTGATATCAAAGTGTCATCACTGTCCACAGCATGAAGAAACAAATGAAACAGTTGACTAGTTCCCTCTTCAACTGTTGTACAATCATTTGGCTAAATAAAATAAAAGTAGGATTAAAAGGTAGTTTACTGTCATAGTTCAATAAAAGTTACTTTAAGAAATAAAATCTGTGATAACAAATAATATATACTAATCTAGCTAAACAAGAAAATATCAAAATGGAAAGATATGACATAAAATCAATTTTTTGGCATGGAAATATTTTGATTGAACTTCTGTGTAAGAAGACCAGGTTTCGAAGTATTTAATCAATAGTTTCATGCTTACAAAGTTAAACTGCTTAATATCTCGTACAAACTACTTCAGTTGGTTTTAAAGGCCTATCTTCTAATAACATTATTAAATGTGAAATATTACTTTATATGTTTATTAACATTGTATTAACTTATGTCCAAATGAGTTTCTTCTGAAAGGAGAAATTCAGTGGCACGTTTATGGCATCTAATGAATACACTGGCCACAACAATCTTGTAGTGAAGGTGAACACAGGTGAGGACAACCGATTATATTTAGCACATAATTACAGAGTGACACGACAAAATAGAAAAGCTATACTCCAATACTTCATTTGCAAAGTGTTCGTTATTTGTTTCAGACTTCATTGTCCCTGCATTTCCATACCAAATGCTTTCTGTTCCCGTTCTCCCCTCCTCGATCTTCTCAACCTTCTGCTGCCAGACATTCTATTCCTGACTAGAGTTATATACCACTTATGTCGATATACATAGCACACACCACAATATTACTGGATTTCAATAACATCGCTGATTTCAGTGGCGTTTATAAATTTAAATTAAGAAAATAAGTCAGACAGAATGTTAACTAGAAGACTCGTTTTATTGATTAAACCGAATATAAATATGTCCCTTAGTAATCTAAGACACGTTTAATCAATGCGGGCGTCTTGTCCCTTAAAAAAGGGAGCTAAACATTGACCAGTAGAATTCGCTTACTATTTAGCCGGTGTTTGATTTGCCCACTACATCAGAGTTATAAAAGCAGTTTACTTTAATACATAAATAAACCTTAAATAAATGTGAAGACATACCCTTTGCTTCCCAGAATGTTTAGTATTCTGTAAATGAAAAAGAACGGTCTGTAGTAGATCAGGTAAACGTATTTCTTTCATTTCAATTCCAACTTTCGATTTTAAAAGGTTCATAAATTCAGTTTCTTCAGGTTCTAGGAAAAGTAATGCTTTACCATGACCACCAGCTCGTGCGGTGCGCCCAACACGATGTACATAGTCGACAGGACCTCCCGTTACATGGTATTGTACAACCCAAGCAACTGATGCTAAATCCAAACCTCGACTTGCAACGTCTGTAGTGATTAGAACACCAGCTTGACTAGATGAGAAGCTACTAAAAGCTGATTCACGTTCCTTAAAAAATAACGTCAAATTAAGACGATAGGTATATAAATTGTAAGCAAAAAATATTGAGTACAGAATTATGATAAATACCACTCTTCGTAGTCAGAGTAACTGAAAAATACTTATCAATAGGAGATTCGATCGATACATCCCTTCATAGCATTGGGTTTTTAAAGACAATAATTGTAATGTCAATTTTTCTTAGAGCATACCTTCTTAAAAACTTAGAAGACGAAGTGGATTGTAACTTTTATTTTAGTTTTCTCATTTGTTTTACATCCCCTTTTTTATGAACTCATATTGGTGTCACTTTATGCAATCATTTTTTTGTTTACTTGCTTATGATGTAAGTCGCCGTATATTGAACGGTTACTAAGTCGTGTAAGATTAACTGTTATTTTTATTTCTTTGACCTATACAAAGTCTCTTGAATACGAATACTTAATAGCCAATACAGTGAAAATGATTTTAACAAATGGTCACTAAAGACTACATAATCTGTGAAGACGTTTAAAAAGTTTACATGATTCTTACTTTATGTTCCATGCTTCCATGAAGCCGGTAAATCGACAGATTCATAACAGGTATATTAGAAATAAGCTCCTCAGATTCGTCGCATAATACTGATTTGAATAAGTGATAATGAAAATCCACACAATCCTGAGTTGCCATAAAAACGATTAGCTTTCCTCCATTTTCATGATACTGGAAAAAGAAATAAAAATTGTCAAAGAATACGGCACAAATTTCAAGATCACATGTAGGCACATCAATTTATATAACTACACAAGTATGGTCAAATCGAATAATTATAGAATCGCATTGATTAGTAATGTATTGGGTGTTACTAAATTGACATTAACATTTAGATATTCCCTATGACCATTCGAAAATTCGCTAGGAAGATCTGTCTAGTTTGATTCCTTCGAAGGCAAGGACAATTTAAGTTTTACGGGTGATCTTCACTCATCAACTAAATAAACTGAGTAACTTAATTTCTAGTGGTAAGCTTAACGAGATAACCTTACTCATATTAACAGATGACAAGTTCATTGCCATTTCATTGCCAGTTAAAGTATGTTAAACTGAGGTTAATGAGTTATATAATAGAGTAAAATTAACGAGTAATTTTCACCGAATAAAGGAGCATGGCGAATCACTTACTTTACATTTAAGTAATAAGAAAGCTGCCAATGAGACAAGCCTCAGTTTCCAAGGAACAATTAGTGCAAAATGTTTCAACCCTGCAGGAAGAGCAAATTCAGCAACATTATTTACTTGTGTATTTAACTCTACTTCAGAGGCTTTCGTCATAGAAGGTTGTGTATTAGGAATGTTTGTTTCACTTTCGCCAACCACGCAACGCACAGGATTCTTCAAAGTTATACCAGCAAGAGCTTCCACTCCTTTGGTTGGATGAAAAAAAGAGATAGTAGTAAGTCAACAGATACTTGTGAATAAAAGTAACTGCAATAAATAAATTTATGACCAGAACTTTAGTAGGACTTTCGGTTGGTATTAATATGAACAAGATATTAATAAAAAAGCACGCATTAAAGCTATTATCAGAATATTTGGATATTTCTGATGAACAAGGTATTTCTTTAAATGAATTATCACATCATAGTGATAGTATACAACAAGGAATCCCAGAGAGAGAAACCCAGTATTCACTAGCTACGATTATTACGTGGTTATTTATTTGTATTCTTTGGAAACACCATGTATATGATACCGAGATATGATACGATATAAACAAATTTAATGGAAGTTTTTGCCTATAAATTAGGTAATCTTGTAACAGTAGATACGATAGAGTTGATACAGGTTTTACGAAACTTTCTAATAGTTTTAACGCCCTGTAAACAATCCATCCAACTCTTGCTTCTTCACAGATAGAAAGTTCACATGATTTAGTGAAGTGGATGATGGTTTTGTTAAGCCAGCAGGAGACGTAGAGACTTGGGATCGAAACACAAAAGAGCTGAATTGTAAATTACTTTTCTGCCAGATCAACATAATAAGAGCTATGAAAAGTGTTTTAAAAATAGATTTATCTGTTTCTGTTCCATAATCATTATTTCTACTTTTACAACTGACGATTAATGTATTATCTTATGCATACCTTGCTATGACCTCTTTCGTTCAGTTACTCTACTATTTTTCCTTCGGACAAAATAGAAAGATGGTAGGAAAACGTACCCGGAGATAATGTTGCTGATAAAAGAACGGTTTGAATTTTTGATATGGATTTATTTTCCGTCGAAAAACAATTGAACTGCTGCATTAATCCTTCAACAATCTGTTTAACATCTCGTTCGAATCCCATTTCTAACAAACGATCAGCTTCATCTATTACTAGCCATTGTATTCTCCGAAGATCAAGTGTGGACGTATGTCCCATATGATCAAGAATGCGCTTTGGTGTACCAATTAGAATATTGATACCCTTTCTTAGACTGTTGCAAGGGAATAATTGGTAAAGAGAATGAGATTTACATAACAGACAGAAATAATGTCAACATTAACCTTAGTAGCAATCTTTAGTCAAACAAAGCTTTTAAATTATTTATTTAAACACTTAAATATTGGTACAAGGGGGCACCAGATATATATGAGCCGCACAAATCTCATTTGATTTGTGTAAGGGCTGGAATACTACCACCCAGGTGCCCAAACTGAACCAGGCAGATAGAAACAAAGTAGAACCTGGTGCATATGTGCACCAGCTCACGTTGCCACACAATATGAAATTATTAAGATAAATCCCAGAGTAGCAGAATCGGTAAATGTATCAGTGATAGTGCGAAAAACCATGCATAGACAATATGATTCGAGAAGAAATTAATTAGCTCCATAAAACATGTGAGAAAATTTTAAAGCTATGAATCAAAGGGAAGAGAGTGAATGAATCTGTACCATCCCAATTGAATCAGCCCAGGTTAACAAACGTCTCCAACCACTGGTTACGATAATCGTGCAAACTCTAGCTAGGTAATCTGCACCTACCAATATAACTCAGATCACCAATCACCGATATTATGGACTGGTGCCACGATTTGGTTTGGCAATCCCTATTTTTCTCCCTATATTTTCATGCTTGCTAACACTGCTCGTCGAGGTATAAGTGGTTAGGCATACGTGATACATGTCCCAACCACTTCAATAGATAAAAATGCAGTACCTCATCAATCGGTTCACCATCCTCACCTAGTACCCTGCGTCTAACCTTAGTATTGTTAACTCAACGGTCCCAAAATACAAGGGTATTCTTCGAAGAAATGTACAATAAAATACTAGCGATCTGCAAGTATCTATTTCTGAAGACCACATGTCACAAACAGAGCAGAACAGAGTGAATTGCCGAACAGTATAACTGTCCATTGATTGGTAGATAGACATTTCGCCTACTATACAAGTGACGCAAGTTGACAAAAGAAGACCAAGCCCTCTGAATATGTGCCCAAATTTTGTTAGACACCAACCAACCCACTAGGGCTAATGAAACTTTCAAGATACGTGGTCGACACACTATACTACTTCATTCTCTAACATCAATTTAGGTGTTGACGCAATGTCTTCATCAAACAGGACTATCTCATCTATGGAGTGATGGCTCAGTGGCTATGGAGTTCGACTTTTAGCCAATTAGTCACAGGTTCGAATTTTGCCCCATCTACAGTTTGAGCAACTGGTTAGCATCACTAGCTCTAAAACTTAGTGTATGGCTCGAAGCGAAATACACGAACCTATACCTGGTGAACGAGATAATAAATCTCGTATAAAATCAATTCCTGAAAAGTCAGACAATGAAAGCTTTGTCTCTAAAAGAATGTCTATAACAAAACTAAATAAGAATGGAGGAAGAGGGTAAAGCTGATGAACACCAGTTAAAAGTCCCGATGACAATTCGCCATAATTTCGACTTGATTGGTAGTTTTTGAGAAGAGTCTGAACAAGGTTGACGTATTTCCTTGGCAAACCTTACATTGATAGACACTAGCATAAAACATATCATAAAACAATTCTGAAAATGATTGATCTGACTGGACTTACCCCATATATTATGATAAATTAGTTTTATTTCAACTTCGATCGATGTTTTAGTCAGTGCTTGTAAAAATTGTACATATTCGATTACTTTATGTAATCTTTTTATCATCATGTAATCGTGAATATTAAGATTAATGCTCGTTGAGAACACCAAAGACTTTACCTAACTACTTAGAATTCTGCATATTCGGTTCATGAATTTGAATACATGAGTAATAGTTTGACATCATAATGATCTTAATCGAAAGACCATTTTGGTTTGAGTTGCAAGTGGTTTCTGCCACGAAGTGATATCAGTTGAGATACCACTAAGTACCAAAACAGTTGTTTAGTCCTCAAACTGCTGGAGACCCTCAAAATAGTTCCATTTGCTTGATGCGTCGTAATATAAAGAACAAAACTGAGTGGTCATCGATTGCTGTTTAATTTGATTTTCACGCTTGATTAATTGTTCGTTAACTGGTAAGTAATTCAGTTATACTATTCTGGTTGATTATTTTGTCTATAAATAGTAACCAAATTTCCCTAGTAATATACTCCGATAGTTAGTGGTTTTGTCTTCTGAGGCATTTTCAGTTTGAGATTGAGGATCGACCCCACCCCAGTTACTCTTAGAATTTTACTGATCAATTATCTAAACAAAATACTTAGAATATAGTGTCACAACAGAATACCGGAATGTTGATAACGGTTACAACACAACAGATAAACGAAGTTTGAGAACTAATACAGCTTACTACCCATGAGCACGTGACTAAAAGTAAGATTTACGTAAGATAGTATAGCTAAATAGTAAGAATTGTCACTAAAAAAGCAATGACGTAGATCCTGCAGTCGAATATTGATGACTAAACAAAAGTGGAAGTGATTTGTCATGAAGAGGGTGAGGTAGTACTACTTGTATCAATATGCATTAAGAACTGGAAGAGTGGTACTGCAGCCTCGAACAAAACATGAAGTCTTAATTATAATGCATCAACAAGGTAGTAATCAGAGATCAATATGGTCATCGAACACAAAACTGTCGGGAATACTATATACAACATATGTAGAAGAAAGTCAGTTTTAACATCGCATATCAATTTAGGGTGCTTTTTGTTCAATCAACTACGAAGAATCCTCATGACTTTTATTCTTATACTTTCAGTGCTTCAGTTGCATTCGGTCATTTGATTTTTTAATGCATTTCTATTGTAAGGATTATTTCATTATGATTTATACTCGATGATAGTAACTCAGTTAATAAAAATCTGCAATCAATAATCGCTTATATATAACCGAATTGACTCGGATGTAAAATCAGTCTTCTTCGGTCTCATCTAATAAATCTTCTTAACAAGATTTTTATTTTGGAAAAACGCGCTGGATTGAAGGGGTAGGGCTATCGTATATAGTATCGCCGTTATCAACATAGTTATCGAGCATATCCGACATTTGTAAGAGAAATTGATAGTCATTTCGTTGTTATTTTAGTTCACGTAGGTACAATATACTTTTAATAATCCACTGAAAGGTAAAAGTAGTAAAATGTAGTCTGTATATTAAAGGTTATTCAGAGAAATATACCTTGCTTTCTGTGATTTCCGTTTCATCCCTCCAACCAACAATCCTGGAACAATACGTACGCAAGCTTGAGACAGAATTTTGAAGACATCAAAGGTTTGTGTTGCTAATTCTCTTGAAGGAAGAATTATTATCCCTAAAGGTCCATCTTTACGTTCAATGGGAGGATCAAGGTTAATTAACTGATCAAACAGTGGGACTGCATATGCTAATGTTTTTCCAGATCCTGTTTGGGCACGTAATAAAACATCTCTTCCACCAACTAAAGGAGGAAGTGCGGCTTCCTGAATAGCGGTTAGATAATCCATTTTGAAACGGTTAGTAAGGCAAGTAATCAAATGTGGGAAGATGTTCAACGACTCACACATATCTTTCCAGTGCTTCGAAGAAAAAACCGGTTCAATCTTGGGTTTCACAGGTTGGCTAAATAGAAGAAACTACAGTCAAATTAAGAGGTTAAGCAAATGATTTAAAAAGCGTTTAAAATCATAATGATAAAACAGGAAAAATAGAGGGTTGCTTTACTGGTCCTATGTTATCAGGCGGCGAGACTATAATTTATGGAAGACCTTTAGACGAGTCTTAAATGACCTTGAGAAACACCAGCCAATCAGGAGACAGCTAATATAGAATAAAAATATGTTATACAAAACCAAAGAATCAAAATGGATACACTTCTTTTACGTGGTTCAGAAACTTGTCAGGGTTAGAAATAGGTTCAAAGGTTCTAAAGTCGTAATGAATACGGTAGAGGAACTCACCCATAATAGTCGATCTCTGAAGTCATGATAAGGTCGCAAATACTCTTTCAACCTCTACCACATAGCTTCAATATTGTTTGTGTGCACTATGGCTGTGTAAGCTTGTCATTTTTATTACACATATATTTCTACAATACTCATACCACTAAACAGCCGAAGCTTCAGTAACATCTGCGAATATTGCAGCCAATGCTATTGGCGCTTTTATTACAATCCGCAGCAATTATTACAATCTCAATCTGAATCGAGCGAAGAAAGCTCCTATTCTAGCATACTTCTTCACCCAACATATATTACATCGAGAGACATCATAACGATAGTCTGCATAGGGTCTATAAATCACTCGATTACGGCAATTACAAATAAAGGAACTCTTAGTAGTCCCATCTATTGTAGACGTTTAATTGTCACGTCTTCTCTATAATCTACTGTGGACCGATCGTACGTGAGCATCAGGTACTGGATCTGGCGCCGTGACCTTGAAATTCCCCAAACGCTTCTGATTGGCTCGTCCATAAATTATAGTTTCGCCGCCAGTAAAACTGATGACGTTTATATTTGCCAAGTGACACACCGACCAAGACCTTAACGCTTACTGATCGTCGAACCCAGTCTAAACCAGTGTCCAATCAGAAGGCGAAGATAGACAACACATTACTTCTATGTGGTACTCTATCCAATCATGACTCGAAAAGCATATCCAGAATGTCTGACTACACAGCAAAACGATTGAGGAATTATAATATGTAAACAACTTAGTCATAACTGAAATAAAACTGGGATACTAGGGAAATGATTAGTCTATTTGGAATAATATTTAAGACGATTCATAGACCGAACGAAAGCTTGGGAATAGGAAAATGTAAAAACACAACACACGCATTCACTAATTGTACAATAAAGGTATAAACAATAACCTTTTCTATCATAGTTCCACATGTTATACTTCTATACTACTGGTCCCATTATACCAAGTAGTAACAAAATATCATAATTCCACTGTTTGACCACAGATGTAACGCTGGGGAGTGGAAATAAATCATCAAGTATTGTTCTGGACCACTAGAAATCTTTTAAAAATTCGTACATATGTACAGGAAAAATTTAGAATATGCTCTATCAGAAATTCTCCTTGAAAGGACCATGTCACATGTTAGGTAAAAGGTACACTTCCTAAAAGCAGTTGACAGTCACTTTCGGGAGCCGTGAGTACAACTTTCGGGAACGTCCGGTCAGTGCGTAAACTGTCTATAGAAGTCAGAACATTGATCCATCGAAACTGCAAGGTCATTACCTTTGATTGGTTATTTTTGCTAACTGGCACAATCTTGCAGAAACTGACCTGAGTACATATCATAAGGATACACAGGTTCAGTAAGTGGGTTGGTAGTGGGACTGAACCCAAAAAAAACTGATGCTAGATGGAACTGAGGACAGACAGGTGTTGTAAAAGAAATCAAACAAGATTTAGGATTTGAAGATACATGTTCATTCGGATCATTTACTCCAAGATCGTATAAAATGAGACTTCTCGAAAAAAACTGGCCAGTCAAGGACAAAGAGGGAAATGTGAGAATTACAGAGGCATCAGTTTGTTATCAGTACCAGGGAAAGTTTTCAACAGAGTGCTGCTCAAACGGATGAAAGACGCAGTAGACGCCCAACTTCGAGATCAACAGGCTGGATTCCGTAAAAATAGGTCGTGCACAGACCAGATTGTAACACTACGGATCATCGTGGAACAATCTGTTGACTGGAAGGCGTTTGACAGTGTGGACAGGAAAACATTACGGAAACCTCTTCGACATTATGGAGTTCCTCAGAAGGTTGTCAGCATTATCCAGAACTCATACGATGGACTACAGTGCAAAGTGGTGCATGGAGGACGGCTGACAGATGCATTTCCAGTAAAGACCGGAGTCAGATAAGGCTGTCTACTCTCCTCCTTTCTCTTTCTTCTGGTGATTGATTGGATTATGAAAACCTCGAAATCTGAGTAGAAACACGGAATACAATGGATATCTCAGAATCAATTATACGATTTGGACTTCGCAGATCACCTAGCCCTCCTATCTCATACACACGAACAAATACAGACCAAGACAACAAATGTAGCAGCAGCCTCCACATCGATAGGCCTCAACATTCACAAAGGAAAAAGAAAGATTCTCAAATACAACACGGAGAACACCAACCCAGTCACACGTGGTGGAGGAACTCTGGAAGAGGTGAAAACACTCACGTACCTGTGAAGCGTCATTGATAAACAAGGAGGATCTGATGCAGATGTAAAGGCGAGGATTGGCAAAGCATGAACAGCATTCCTACAATTGAAGAACATATGGAACTCAAAACAACTGCCAACTAATTTCAAAGTCAGAATCTTCAATACGAACGTCAAGACACTCCTACTGTATGGAGCTGAAACGTGGAGAACTACTACTACCATCATCAAGAAGGTACAAGTATTTATAAACAATTGTTTACGCAAAATACTCAACATCCATTGGCCGGATACTATCAGCAACAGCGTTTTATGGGAGAGGACAAACCAGCTTCCAGCTGAAGAGGAAATTAGGAAAAGACGTTGAAACTGGATAGGACATACATTAAGGAAATCACCAATGTGCATTACAAGGCAATCCCTTACTTGGAATCCGGAAGGAAGATCAAAGAACACATTACGCCGAGAAATAGAAGCAGATATGAAAAGGATGAATAACAACTGGAAAGAACTGGAAAGGAAGGCTCAAGACAGAATTGGATGGAGAATACTGGTGTGCGGCCTATGCTCCTCCACGAGCGGTAACAGAAGTAAGTAAAGTAAATGAGTTGGACAAGTGATCCGTCAGATGTCCTGGGCTCATCCTAGCGGGTGACTTCTTTTGGAGCAACATTCATAATTGAAGCGAGGTTGATGGTTTCTTTGTACGAGGATCTAATGTCCCATATATCACAACTCCAACTGTTTCAACTCCAATCTATTAGTGATAACATACAGAGCGTTACACAATAGACTTTACACACAAACCGGTATCGTTGACCTGTTTTAAGAAATCGTTGTGACGATGTTGCAGATATTTAGTCCTTACTTTTGTAAGAAATCCGTAACATTAGTGTGGCAAAGCGTGATCATATGGTCCCAAATAATTCTAATCTATGTCAATTACTTTACAACGTCAATATTTTTATTTGCAGGTAGGTAAGATAACAATAAATAGTGACATTGATAGATTTGAGCTCCGACCTTATTCACTTGGTCAAGACGTTGAGACTGGTACAATAATTCCAGAAGTGCGCTAATCTATACCTAACACGGCAATAATCACCAGCACATTACTAATGAAGAACCACCCTCACAATTTCAAGTGCAAAAGCCCTATGAGTAATTGCAAGACGCGAAAAGAATAAATGCACAGTGATAACCAGAGGCTGGCAAACAGCTCCACATGATATGGCCATTTCAAAAACCCTTCAAATACGTAGATGATATGCTTTATACTTTGCAGCATGTGAGATTAAGCCAAATATTATACTTAGTCAGCTAGAATGTCTTATTCAAGATCATGACTCTTGGATGCATCCAAAACGTGAATGACTGGACTCTCTACAATTTCTATGACGGGGGATTGAAAACACATGGACCCGCTCACTATATCGTGCAAATGAAACGATATAATAGGCGAGACTATGACTTATGGACGAAGCAATCAGATCTAAGGTAGTGGGCCCTGGATTTTGGCGCGAAATACATTCACTCATCTGGCTAAATACGTCAGCCTGTCTCACTGGAGTTTCGTTTCTCGCATCGAGTAGTGTATTACTAGAATTCTCTACCAGAACGTAATATCAGCACCTTCTGTTGATATATTTAAAACGAGATTGGACCTTCACAGTGTAACAAGTCTGCAAGGATTAACATAGGTCAATAGACCTCCTATCCTTATTACTGAAGATTGCAATACTTGTCTTTGAGAATAACAGGTTAACAGATGAAGTATCGCCGTCGATGATATCTGTTCGGATGTAATATCGATTTAGGCGCATACAAACGATCATCACAGTTATTCCATTTTTATAGAATTTGAATAGTAATCTCAAGAAATATCAGATAAACTTATGAGATAATGCAAACACGTTACCTCATCATTTTATGTAGCATAGGAGTCTCGGTCATTTTGTTGTGGATACCAAACTGCAGGGAATTTTTCTCCGACAGAGACTTACGGCCAACACTTATTACCTTCTTTCTCTCCTTTGGAGTAACACGTTCATCCTTAGCTTCAGTATGTGGAGAAGCATAAGATGAAGTGATTGGGTTTGACTGTTCACGACCCGATACGTTCTAATCAGAGTGACTGAATGTTGAACGACAAATTACCCCGCATCGATTTTTTTTACGATCATTTGTGTCCAGAATATTTAGGATAAAATCATCCATCGTGATTATAACGATGCTTTGAAAATCTGGAAACCGAGCCAAGGTCACCTGAAAGTAAACTAGATCTTTTAAATAACGTTCTTTCTACAAGCTTCCGTAAATCAATTTCGCTATCATTGTCTACGGACTTTAGAAGTTGATTTTCTAAATATCTTCCCGTGAATAACAATATTTTCTTACATACGCGCTATTTAAAAAGGACAGTGCTAATTTTCCTCGTTGAGTTAAATTTACTGTTTTGATCATAAATTACTCATCAAAACTACTGTCTCCACTTCAATTAAATTTATTTCAGTTGAAAAACTTCATACTCGAGTATTTATTGTATTAAAGCATATTTAGTCGACTTTGACTTGATTTGTTTTGGTTAAGGTTTGGAGTTTTTTTTACATATCCATTTTTGTGTTACCACCTTTAGTTGATTTTTTAGATCGTCGGCTCTGTCCAAAATTAAGGACAGCCATATTGCCTATTCCCTATGGGGGAGAGAGTGCAAAGTGATGAGTGTAGTAAGGGATTCCATAAAATGTGTACCAGCTTAAATTCCACTGCGTATAAAACGTGCTCATGACCTAACTCCCATTGGCTTTGTGTGTTTTGTTGTTCGAACAAGACATTGCTCATCAAAGGGGCAATTGACTTCCTGGCGTTGGCTAACAAAAGGGTTGATGAGGGCTGTACTCTTAACATGGGTACTGATAACGAAGAGTGTGTCAGTGTTGTAAGTGTTGCTACGGCACGTGTCAGATACGCGACTATGTAACATATAGTAATGATTTCTATCTCGAAACAATTAACGCGTCAAACACCATTGGAGATTGGTGATCACGTTTCTACAGAATCGAGTGGTGACACAGACAAAACCGTTATCGTCTTAAGTAGTTCTAATGTTCATGCTGAGAGTGATGAGAAATAAATGACGAGAAGACCACTTAACAGCCGAAGCTTCATTAACATCTGCGAATATTGCAGCCAATACTATTGGTGCTTTTATCACACAGTTCGCAGAAATTATTATAACTCGTCTTAATCCCAATTTGAATCGTGAGAAAAGAATTCCTACTTCTTCATCCCAAATATATTACGTCAAATGGTTCAAATGGTTATGGACGGGATAGAAGAAGCTTTCACTTAACGGGCTTCCGTATCTAGTAGCAATGGATCACCAATACCTCCAGGCAGGAACCTAGGTATATTAACGATAATAGAGGAAAAAAAGAAAATGGTAGATCATAATAAGATGTTATCCTTAGTCCATAAGAATAGGTCAAGTTTCCTCTTAAAGGACTCCTGGGAAGTCGCTTGAACTAGCTCAGTTGGTAGCGAATCTCAGCGTTTGACAACTCTTACGGAGTAGAAGTTGTGTCTGCAGTCTGTTCTGCTATGTTGGGTCCCCAGTTTCTGGGTGTCACCCCCTAGGTTAGTATTGTGACTAAACTTAAGTAGCCATTAGAAGGTCACCTCTAAGATGCCTATACTCTGACGGGTAAAGTTTAAGTGGTTGGAGACGCTCTTCGTGAGGTTTGAATTCGAGATCTCGAACTGATTTCGTGGCTCACCGCTGGATACGCTAAAGAGTGTCCTGATCATTTTGGAGTGAAGGACGAAATACTATGTTTCCGTACTCTAAATGGGGGCGAATTATGCGGAAAGTTCTTCTGTGAAACTGGTCAAAAATGGGCTTCAATGTTACCAGTGCAAGGTTTGCTCGAAAGGCATTTTTGTCACAGTTAGAGCAAGACTTCAAATCGCAGGTTAGCAGTACTACTAAACCTGTTTCGATTTCGGATACTTCTAAAGAGGAGTTTCCGTAGTTGTAACTATAGTCTGCAACATGTCCCAGATGGACTAATATACACTTTGAAGTGTCAAAGGTAAGTCCGTTGTCATCTGCTCAACTTTGGGGTCGAGTCAGATCCTCCTGAAGTGCCAGTATATCCTCTTGGTTGCGTATCTCTCTCCTTAGTTTCACATCATCAGCAAAAAGCAATAAGCCAGACGATACTTGTTGTGGAAGATCGTTTGTATAGACCAAGAAGAGAAGAGGTCCTTTCATTGAGCCCTGGGGGACCCCACTAAGAAAATTCCACAGCCTGAGAGAAACTGAAGTTAACCCTGACCTCAAAACGTTGGTCCTTTAGATATGAAGTGAACCAGTCAATTAGAGGTAGTTTGATCTCCAGTCGCTTTGAGAGATCAGGGCAAATAATGTTAATCTTTCTCTTGCGATCAAGGATGCTTTTCCACTCTTGCATAACTATCCTAGAGTGACTCTTTCTGAAACCATGCTGTTGGGGTGAGAAGTTTATGGAAAATAAGAAGTCGTGTATACCATTGCATATCGGGGACTCCTTAATTTTGAAGGTATATAGGCAAGGGCCACCGGTCGGTAGCTTGATGGTTCGCTGCGTCGACCTCCTTTGGAAATTGCTGTGATGTGAGCCAGCTTCCAAATTTCCGGTAGTTTGCCTCGACTTAATGAGTGTGAGAACATCACGCGAAGCGGTGTTTCCAGGATCGAAGCGGTTTCCCTCAGTATAGCGGAATGAACTATATCCGGACCAGGAGAAGTGTCTTTTCTTAGGTGCTGCAGTTTTCAGAACACCAAGTCAGAGCTCTGGTTCACTTCGGAAAGTCCTATGCAGTTACAGATGAAGCTTTCATCAGTATAGTTGATGTGGGTATGTTGAAATGTCCGAGAGTACTGTTCAGTCAGATGATTAGCGGCACCACCGTCGCTATTAGTTGGGCCATTAGGACCTCGCAGTTGGGAAACTCCAGTTTCGGATTGTCAAAGAGAAGCCACATAACGGAATAAGCTCTTCGGATTGGAGATAAATTTATCTACAAGCTTTATCTGATAGCCTGTCTCCTTTTATTGTCTTTGTACATATGTTCCTTATATGTTTGTATTGCCTGAACGCGCCGTTGTTATCTGTTCGTTTGTACTCTACCCAACAGTGCCTTTTGTGGCTTAGCAAACAAAGAGTGTGGTTCTTGATGATTGCAGGTTGCTTGTAGCTTTTGGAGACCGTTTGGGGAAGTGAATGCTTCGCAGCACATGAAAGCGTGTGCGATAAGAAATCCCAATGCGCATCCACTTCAAGTTGAGGGTGAACATCCCAATCCACCTGTTGTATATAGAACATTAAAACTGAAGCATTCAACCGTTTAAAATTTCAGCGCCTGTTGATGGTGGGATATCTCAGCTCAGTTTTGCTGACAAGACCGAAAACTATAACGGCGTGATCGCTTTTCCCTAGGGGAGCCAGAATTGACAGATTGTCGACTAGGAATTCTTCGTTTTGTAAATGCCCGGGGTAAGCGCAACGGTACTTGACTGTTCCTCCGACGAGTTGCTGACTTCATATTTTCGAATAATCCCAGATCCTCAATGAGATTGAAGAACCGAGCTTCAGTTGAGTTTTCACCTCCAATATACCTGTGTTCAACGAAATTGACTCTGAGAATATTGAAGTCCCCTAGAATCAGGATATGAGTGAATCCGAGACGAGTAGAGCAGGTTGATCCTTTTAGCATACGATTGTGGTACCCGATATCGTCAGTGGGCTTCCTGTAGATGACCCTAACTGGACACCTTGAGGTGGTAGGTAATGTTACTGAGCACCATACTGATTCATCGAGATTGAGAAACTCTTGGTTGTGAACTTAGTGTTCCTCCAGGTATGATCGTATGTACAAGACAACTCCACCCCCAATTCCTGTTTTTCTGTCATTACGACACAAAGACATCCCAGGTATTGCTAGCTCCTGGTCCGTAAACTCAGAAGATATCCAAGTTTCAGATATTCCCATCAAATGAGCATTATTAACATTGCTGCGTTTACGCAGCCCATCCATTTTATTTGGTAAACTCGCAGCTTTCATGTATAGACAGTTTATACTTGCAATTTGAAACGCCTGAGCTTCTTCCTCTTTGTCTGTACGAGCCCTACCTGAATGGACAGGTAGCCTATCTATACAAGGCTTTCTGAGTTGATATTCCCTGTCCTCTACACGTCTGTTTTATAATCAAGACAGTCCACAAACGGAGTTGTCAGCTCCACCTTGCCTTTGTGCTCGATCCTAGTGTCATGTGGCCTATCCGGATGCCTATGGATTCCAGTTGACAACCGGCGTCTGTTGGCACGAAATGCTTCTACGGTTGCAGCCGCCATATGGGAGGATGCGAAAGTTATCTTCATTAGCCGCGGTCTAGAATCTCAGTTCTTCTTGGCTAGTCTCGTCACTTTTTGAGTCATTATGTTTTTGAGCTTAAAGGATTGTTTGATAAATTTCCATTCCCTAATACCAGAGTTTGTTTGACCAAGGTCTGTGTTCTCCGGTATACCGTGCACAATTATATTTCTTTCAGGGAAAAACTTCTCGCGAGATTCTTTAGGGATGCTCCGGATGAGATTACCCTCAGAATACGGTATGTCAGGCAGTATTCTTACGTCCCCATCAGATTTCAGTAAGTGACTAGCCAGTAGAACATCCTCTACGTCGGAAGCATCCTTGAGTGTCACACGAAGCAGCTTCCGGTGATTTTGATGCTAAGAGTCCTTTCCACGAGTAGGCCATGTGGCCGCCAAAGACTCTAGTCTAGGAAGTTCAAGCTTCTTGTTTAATGCTCCCCAGAGCATCCTGTCATTTTTGTCCAACAAACCGAGGGGAAGGTCAGGGTTGTCTTTAGGTTTTGTGATTACGAGCGAGTCACCACCAACCGTTATTGTTTTCCCAGGTTTTTTCAGTGCGTTCAGGTTCAGCACCTTGTTGTTTGGAGGTCTAAGCGCGTTTCTGATTCCTAGGTTCTTTGATGACCGGACAGACATTCTTGGGGTAGACTGTACGGCCAAGTCACCAGTTTATTTCTATACAATACTAAGGATGCTCAGCCTAGACAGTGACGCGTTATCCTTTTTAACTCTGTTGACGTGGGTTCATTCACGTACAGAGCTCCTGGGAACCACCGTTGCATTCAAAGACCCCGTTCTGGGAGACCCAAGTTAGCTGAGGGAGTCTATTACGGTCGACGTTATGGTGGTGCTGAGTTTCAG